AACTACGGTACCGTAGCGACGATGTGGCTCAACGGACTAAGCGTTAGGAATACGCTCGCCACCGCACCTCTAATTACTCTGCGTGGGTTCGCAGGTTCGAATTCCTTGCAGGGATAGCCTACCGGTAGTTATGTGCGAGAGGATTGCTGGACTCCTCGCCGTCGTTGGGTGGTTCACATAACCGCTGGTCGGTTACGGCTTCCTCCACCACCAAGTCCATGCTTCCGAAAACGAACAATATAATTAATCCCCTACCCGACTTGGAATGGTAACCGGGCAAGAGGCCGTGGTTCGCCATATGGATAAGCCGCCTTATCGGCTTTCCTCTCCCCCGGGATAATTATGTAAATCTTATCCTATCCTATCAATTGCAGAATTGGGAATAGATCAATTTGGGGAAGTTTCAAGTCGTTCAATGGTGTCGAATTTGAATAACTAATCTGTAAGCTAGTTTAGGCTGGCCATGTACATTATTAATTTAGCCTACCAAAATCAATTTTGTCCACTAACTGTCTCAGCTATCCCTGTTAAAAGATTTTTCTGGTTATATTTATGAAGAACAATATTAAATTGCTATTTTTTGGTTATCACCAATTGTAATCTGACAACCTATATCAGCAAATGTGACACGGACCACAGATAATGATACAGCGGGCCAGGGTTTGGACCACCGTGGGTTAGATCAATATCGAATCAGACTAATGTCAGAATGTTGACTAGATCTGATTTTTTCTGATCTATTTCGCTGTCAGCACTGCATTAGTTAAATTGTATGAAGTCTCTCATTTCTGCATTTAATATTTCAGTAAACAGTGTCTGGTACATTGAGACCTTTTCTACTTTTAATATCTGAATATTGAAAACGTCTGTCCCATTTTTTAGCAATTTATAGTCGGTTGGATTTAGCTGGGAATACAGGAATAGCTATATATGATATCATAGGTATTTTCTATAAATGTGTGAAGTTGTTCGAAGAACTGGCCTGAATGTAACTAACATCCAATGACTTGTGTCAGATTGTCAAATATCTAGAATGTGATGTTTGTTGTCACATCAATAAAATATGCATGGCCTGTGTTGCTACAGTATTATCATACTGCAGTACTGTCAGGTTATTACAGTCACTGTGGTTAGTTGTATCTTTGGGCAGTGGCAAGAAGTCTGGCTAGAGTCACTCCCTTAATACTCCTATTTTATTCAAGAACATATAATTGAATCTAAATTAGCTATTGATTTATGAGAAAATTCGAAATGTCAGCAATATACCAATATCAGTCTTTAAAATTGCAGAACAATGTTCCAAATACAACCATCGTACTTGAATTGAACAATATCACATTCACAGAAGTTTATTCTTAAAATGTTTACTAAAATCATTTGCCTTGAATTTTCTAACCTATGGTAACCCAGAACATATCAAATCCTTTTTACCTGCGGTTAGATGCTTTAAATCAGCTGTTCTCTCAAAACGTTTTTGCTCTGAGTTTTGTTCACAGTCACTGGAAAAAGTTTGTTCTATAACTCACAGATTTATTTACTATAGGCTGGAGTACTGTTATTCTGCACTATGGCCTCTTTAGTTTGGCGTAGACTCCCTCAATATGCTCCACAAATGTGTCGCTTCGCTCATGCTCCATCGCAGCAATCTACTGGTGAGGAATCAAATATTTTGATTGCATTAATATGGTTACATATGCATTTGGTATATCCTCGCTAACTTTTATGATTTTAATACTATGGTATTTGACTTCAGAAAGAAATATAGCTCATTCTTTGGAGTTGTAGAAGGTATAATTACTAAGTATAAATTACAACTGTGAACTAAAATCATTGGTCCTGAAATTCCTTCGGGGTTTGTGTGAATTCTTTGTCATTGATTTTCTGAATTTTCGAAGTAATAAAAATTGCACTACTCCGTGTCAGCCTGAATTTATTGGTCTTTCTAAGTACTTATTTTTTCGCTCTTCTTTAAATTTTGACCTCATTCTAGCTATTAAAAAAACATGATCATGTTACAATTCAAGGTTAATTGCATTTCAGCAAGGATTTACATGTACCCAAATAGTATCAAACCTGATTTTTCACCACATTTGGTATCCTGTGTATCTTTCAAATTATGATATTTTACTGGCAATTTTTTTAGCAATGTTCAAATGGATGACTTACCTTGGCATCCCAGCAGTTGTGGGCACAACAGCTATTTTTGTTTACAAGCGAGAGCAACAACACCATGCGCATTATCACCGACCAGAATACAAATCGTATGCACACATGGGACTCAGGTCTAAGGTTTGTTTTAGTTTTTTTGTAAATAAACTGTTGAAGAGTGTAGTCATTTACTATTTCCTGTTTGGGTATTCTTTTTGGAATAAAATAACTGATAGTTCATCTTATTGTAACATATGAAATATACCCAGCTCTATATTTACTGCAGTAACCTTTTCAAAATGTCAGTAACAAGTTACAGCTATGATATTAATCAAATAGACAACTGAGGTTGATTCATAAAATGCCCTTTTTTTTTCATTGTTAAATCCTGACTTAAATTTTTCTTATGTTATGTTACTCTTACAAAACATATGCATTTTAAATCTACACTTTGACAATTCAAGTTTAGACATTTTTTAATCATTCATTTAATATATTTTTTCAGATAATTGAAATATTTCACTGAAAGCACAATTCCTGGATATGTAATAGTGTAACTGAAATTTTTTTATATTTTGGTTTCAGAAATTTCCGTGGGGAGATGGCAACCACTCTCTCTTCCACAACCCAAAAACCAACGCTATTCCTGGGGAGGGATATGAAGAAGATCACTAGGATAATTCGATCTAATAACACTATTTTATTCGTGTGATTTGAAGTTTGAAAAGCTGTTTAATATTATTCTGTTCCCTATCCATTAAATAAGAGATGATATAATATTAGTGAGAGTTGAACGTTGAACAGGGTTTGGTCAAAAATTGACGCATTTAGATTATTTGAACTGTTGATTATGTTACTCATTATCTCATTAAGTCATGACTTTGAGAACTGGAATTTTCAACGCCTGACAATTTTGCATCTGTCTTGTCATTAGGGCCACGAATGTCATCTGATACCACACCTATCATAAATCAGGCTGTCTTATATTGCAAAGCTATTGATGGTCTACTACAGAATAACACACTCTACAGCGGGGGTGTGCACTTGCGGCCCACAAGGAAAACTTGTGCGGCCCGCGGAGAAACGCCACTTTTGAATGGTGTGCGGCCCGCGAAACGAACTTTTAATTTCGTTTAGTATGTGCGAGTAGTTGAAGCCTATATCTGAGCTTGTGCGAAGCGAACAATTCATGTCACAAGATTAATAACCAAAATTTTTGTTTCTACAATTACTAGAAAGCCTATGTTAAGGTGTGGCCTGCGGTTTCACCCAGTTATTTGTATCTGGCCCTCCTGTATTAAAATTTGCACACCCCAGCTCTACACTATTAGTAGCAAGAGGTTGGCAGAAATGGGGCATTCTTCATTTCAGAGATGCATCTAGTGAATGTGGTTTTACTGCGTGGCTTTTGGTCCATGGTGGTCTATTCAAATTCAACCCATCGGTTTACCTTTGGTTCTTTTGACCAGCATCATTCTTTGTATTTATCAATGACGTCCGAATAATTCACTTGCTTTTTACTGGCCAAATGTCGTTTTGTACGTGTCTTCATGTGGGTCCCACAAGGAGACAGCATTGGGCCTATGTGCACCTTCAGCGACGGCCTCGGTTGGGGTGGTCTCGCTTGAGATTGGAAAATGGGCCTTGTCTACGTTACGTAATTGTGTCCCCGATAGGCCCCATGTTCAAATTCGAAGCATCCGGTTGGACTACCATCTCTAGGGATTTGACTTTGAATGAGTGAATGGCGTATGTGACTCGAGATGTGTCAGTAACCGTTTGATCGCTTTGTTGTCGATATTATCTCCTTAATGCACCCTAAAGCACTGATGCGTCTTTGTGTGAGGTGCGGCTGTCGTGCTTGCGTGGGTGCATCTGGGCAGTGGCGTAGCATCCACCCCCGCGGTCGCGGGAAGGCCCACAGCGCAAAGGGGCCCAAGCGGTTAGAATTTAGAAACTTAAGCCGCAAAACCAAAAGCTGCATTGAAAAACCAGTAATGCACATCTTATAACGTTGATGTTAGTTCTGCTCAAATCGTTTTGTTACGTAACAATGCCAGGGAGTCGTCGATTTTCGGCGTTTTGTGGTTTAATCGCACTGGCAAAATTACGACGGCTGTCAGAATGATGTCGAAAGCAAAACCTCTCAGTGGCGCACAGAAATGCAGAAGAGGAAAAACGTATGAAACAAATTAAAGTAACCAAGATAAACGGCAAATTTCAGATTACCATTGCCTTTTTATAGCGACATGTTATGCTTTTTGACGAAATTAAAAAAAAGCGTTGTTTTAGCTTATGTCCGAGTGTTTTAGGGTCATTTCCACGAAATACTTTTGCGGGGGGGGCCCCACGAGAGTCTTGCTACGCCACTGCATCTGGGACTTGATTGATTACGGAAGAGAATATCAAAGAGGATACGATTTTCATATTTATCCAGAGAGTTGAAAGCCTATAAGACGAATATATCACATGACAAGCCATGGCCCTGTGGTTAGCAGTTCATGCCCGGTATGAAAATAGTTGACCCTTAATTTGTTTCAGATCGATGGACTTGGTAGTGGAAAATTGATGACTGACCAGCGGCTATTCTCAACGCTGAGCACAATTGGCTATAATATTGTAGGCGTGCAGGGTGTATGATCGTTCCCGCCGGCAGGGCGTGTTGCGACTTTTTTCATATATGTATATAATATTGTTCATATATATATATATCAGTTTTCTCTATCAGAAAGAATAAGGATGCACATTGCCAACCTGGCCCCATGCATAGGTAAACCCCAATATATATCATGTACAGCTACCATACGTTTAATAAAAACAAATAGTGGAATCATTGTTGATGAAAAAGTGAGTTTATTTCAAAAAATCGTATCACCAAAACATCTCATTCACGTAGTAAATCCATAGCTAAATATCACAATACCAAAACATTTTTTTCGATACATTACTTGACCATCTGAAATCGGTTAGCCATTTCAAGCCCTACACTCAACATCTTTCCTCGGATTATTGTGATTAATAAGCAAATCAAAGCAAAGTACGTTATAATTACCGTAATCTCTTTTCTATGCTACTAAAATAAATGCATTTTTTTGGATTTAATTGGAAATATAAAAAGATATCAGAAAGTCAAATTTGAAGTATTGCCCCAAACATATATGTCACCGAAGCCGGAATTACAATAAAAATTACGTGAATTTTTATGGCACTGGCACTTCCTCCGGGGTTATAGTCCACAGGTGTGGGAATATTGACAGGAATTTTCTAAAAAAAAAATACAATAGAATAAAACTTGGAAAAAAAATACAAATTTAATTTTCTATTTTTGTTTGCGTTGTTATCTGACATATTCGATGTGGGGTATTACGGATTGACTTTTCATTTGTTCAGTTCACAAATTATTAAACCAAAACAATTTGAACTCCAATATCTGGACGCTGATGCTATTTACAATTCGCATAAGTGTCTGCGAGCAAATATCAGCTAACTGAGATCCAGCGCGGTCATCTTAATTTAATAAAGGTTGGTGGACATTTTACCCGAGGAAAATAATAGGGACGAAAGGATATATATACGTATAGTATAACCTTGAGTCAGTCGTATGATGCATTGATTGTATTTTTCTATTATTTCGGATTTTTCTTGGCTTAACCAACTCATATACTAAACAGCATTGACATGACTTCGTAGACAAAAATATATTTATTCACAATTTTCATCTGGGGCCCCTAAATGTCTACAACTTCGACAGCTAAACCGCCTCTAGTGTTCATTTTAAGGACTGAAATGAATGGATACTTATATAGAACATTAGTGGTAAGAACTACGTTAGAAATGTTGTTTACCGCAGGCTTTAGACTTCTAGGCAAATCCAATTGTCTTGTTTGACACCAATTCTCGTCATAACTTGTCTCTCCATTTTCGAGTTCTTCCAAAAAAACTCTGAAAATGGTAATAATCTCTGTTCTAATATTATGGAGCGTATTTTTTGAACATATTCAATTTAACTAGTTTGGAAATATGAAAGCACGTTAGATTTTAAATATGAAATTCAGATTTAAAATAATTCGTGAGTATGGATTAATTTGCGCGAGACGGTACCCATGCATTCATGATATGTCAAGCTTTTCCATTTATGGTGATATTTATTGTTCATTTTGTAGAAATATATATATATATAAATCCATACGACACTTCCGTTTATATTAGTTGCACAAGGTCCAGGAATATTTTTTTTAGATTATTTTATGATATGGTTTTAAAGGTTACCTTAACATTGAAGTAATATGAACTACAATATATACATATATAAAGTATTATGTAACATACCTATACCAAAAGGTTACTTGACTTCCTTCGCAAGACTTGCAGTCAAAACTAAACGTCATACTGTCACCCACAGTTGTCGTGCACAATGTTCCGGAGTCGGAGAAACCTGCCAAAACATATATATGTGATAAATTCTGCAAACTCTGTTATGTTCAGGTGTGTTTTATTCCAATACTTTAGTAGATATGTGTAGTAACATCTCAATCTACAAATTGGTGCCATTTAAAACGGTCAACGTCCCATATTTTTGATAAGGATTCAATGCAATACAAAGTGTAGAAAAAATCTCACAGTTTTTAACGCCACGGTCATTAATGCAAATTGTTCCATCTCCAATATCTAAATTAATCTCAATATGTTTTCCGTTTCCTCCTGTGTCTCCTACGACGACGCATGATAGGTCTGAAAGGTAAAGAAATTCAGATATTGAGTGACATATTTCAGGGTGATCCAAACCCAGGCCTGCGGGCCACATTTGATCCACAGTATCATTATCTGTGGCCCGCGTCACATCTGCTAGTTGTATAGGTACAGGGTTTTGTTTTTTATCAATTCTAAAAAAACATCGTGTTTTAAAACAAGGGCTTTTTTAAATCAAATTTTTTTCTCTATTTTTTATTGAAATACCCCTTGCATCGCCGCGAAACTACGTCAAAACATTGCATTCGGGCAGCTGTACACGCAGTCGGAGTTATAATTTTAAAAATGTAAGTAAAAATTTCCATTTTGACGTTTACTTCTATTGCGTACATTTATCGCGACTTTTGTATCTCCACAAAAGTCATTACATTTTAACCTGAATGTTTATCCGAGATGTCAAAGAGACGTTTTGAGTAAGAAAAATCATGAAAATTAGCTCACATGCCTACAATGAAATCAATTAGAGGAATGGCAGCCTTCGGCAAAACGAGTGGGTTGCGATAATGAAGAATATGCTTACATCGACGGCGGACGAGACACGCTAGCCTGGCCTATGTTAATTGTAAGAGTTCTCTGATGCAAAGACGCCTCAACTAATCTGTTATGACGCCATGATGTGGATTTCGAGTTCATGTATTGACATTTTTCTCATAAAATGAAGGCATTATTACGGTTAATACTGTTCGGATAATTTATTCTTAGCAAGCTTTGTTTTTAAGGTTAAAGTGATAGAGTTTTTCAAGATTACACAAACTCAATTATTCGATCGCATTTCAATTTTCGCAAGGTGGTTTCGTCGCAGCAGGGTCGTTCACGTGATGGCGTTACGTTATCGGTTGCGTCTTACTGCGCCAACCACTGAGCTACAGCTTGAGAAGGTGTGTATGAGCCTCTATCGTTATTTGTGGCGTTTTGGAGAATTAATTGCAAATAAGAAGCGCTTGGCAAGTTTTTACATCCATTTTTCTTCAACTTATTTAATACAAAAAAAATCAAATAGTACAGCCATTTTGAACAAAAGAGGCAAAAAAACTTGATTTAAAACAATTGTTTTAAAACAATTCTTTTTGAACAAATCCCTATATAGGTAACAATTGGTGATATAGGCCTAACAAAACTTTGCATTTGCTGTTGTAGATAGCCTGCCTGACTAAACTGAATTGTTAACTAAACCATGTCAGGTAATCGATTTCGACATTTTGTACTTCTACAAATTTATTTGGTTTTTTCCTTCGGGAATTATTCGCTTACGATATCCCATTAGGCTTCATAGGCAACTAAAAACCAAATGAAGAGTTCAGAAATGTTGGTTGGCTATGCCTGCTGATAGCCATTATAGCCTTGAAGAATTGAGACAATTTTTCTGTCTCGTGCTTTTTCTTCAATAACCTTTTTTTAAGTTCGTGACTCCTGTAGATCCAATTCCGTATTAAAATCGACATTAAGGGCATCCAATCAACCCACCAAATAACAAGAATAACAAACAATACGATTATTTCTATAAACGATCCATAGGTCCACTTCTAGTCCATCGAGGGAAAATGCTCAAACATATGGATACGAAGGTCACGCACTGGTATTGGACGCGGATTAAACGGTGTTACCTTTTAGTGGTAGTAAAACAGCAAAATTCAGATTGGCGTATCAGATTCCCTATTGACTCATTTTATATTGAAAAAAAAGCAATAGCCTTTTAGCTACATCCTTCATCCCTCAACTTTAATTAATCACCGAAAAGTTGCTCCATTAGATCTTTCAGTCGAGTATCCCAACAACAACAGGAATTTTGCAAAATAACATAAATGTACACATAAATTCATATTACATTAAATCGATGAGTACTAAATTAGATAAACTAACCTGTCGCACCAAATACAGCTGTGGAAACCAAGTATCCTAAAGGACGACTTGTGTTTGCATTTGAATCTGATTTAGTGATGTATGTTTGTGAGTATTCTGTAGGATTAATTGGTATCCATATCTGTAAAAATATAATTAAAATATATATTTTTATAATGAGAGGATAATGTGTTTAATTTTGCAATTCTCTCATCATATATCGCGTTTAGATCAAACCTTGCGATAAAAATTGGGCTCTTATATGGTACCCCGTAGTGTGTGTGTGTACCAAGTTAGGGTTAGGCCATAATTTTATATTGATTTTCCTTATTTCAGTTCTATTGCGACTTTTTGCGAGTTTGAGGGCTGTCTGTGTCAGCCAAGTGAATATACCCCCTGCCCATAGGATTCAGTCCCTTTACACAACTTGATGTGAAGTAGGCTAACTAAATTAGTTACCTCCATATTGGTACACATAACTACGGTTTCTCAAAGTTATTATGATACATCGTGCAATCCAATGAGTGTTTTTTTGCGCACTAAGTCTTATACCAATTTGAATCAATTATCTTAATTCACTTACCGAACAAGCTTGAGATGGTGAAAAGTTGAACGCAATAAAAATAAGAAATCCGAGTATAAAGCGCGTTGAAGTATACAGCAACATGTGTCAATATAACTTTCAATATAATAAATAGCTACTCTGAAAACGAACGTGACAGTAATATTGCCTTGTAAAGATTTTGTTTGTTCTAGAGTCCTAGACTATAGACGATTTAACTAGAAATGAAAACATCATAATCTGAATATGCATAGTTGTAAGTGACGTATTGTTTGGCCTGGCGATGGCACAAATGCTATGCCGCCTATATACTTTACAATAGCCTATTTACTACCTCCATTATAGTATAACCGATAGGTCTTTCTCTAATAGTAACCTTCACTATTTATGTTCCAATAGCAACGCATAGACATGTTATTCAGAAGCTACCAAAGACTACATGCCCTGACTCAAACCTATATGGTATAAAATGCACGTCATGGTATCGCCAGACACAGACATTTTGTATTTGAAATTGACAGGCTTGTCCATGTGACATATTTTTCTGTCCCCTTCCCATCTCATACCATAGCAATTATACTTGTCCCATCCCATGGGATTCCCATTGGAATAAAGTTTATTAAAAATTGTTACATTTAGGTTTACAAAAATAAGCAATTGGAACTGACATCACTTCCAAATCGGTCACAATTTATTCACAAACACTCGAAATGGAACCCAAAAGGCTCAGTGACTCTACTCTCTTCTCCTTGTCTTTTCTTATGAATTTATTATATTTCAATTTTGACTCAGCGTCTTGATGTTATTAAGCATATGGCTCAGTCAAGTGAATAATGAACCTAAATAAACATCAAAACGCGGCAGACTGATTTTCTGTCGTAGTACGAACGATTACTAAAAGCTAACATCCCTTCTATATGGATGATAAGGGGTTGCTCAATATTTTTAGAACTTGAAGCAATCAATTAAAAATCACCATGTCAACCTAAGTAAGGTATTGCCACGTAGTGAGATATATCTTTTGAAATATACAAAATTCTATCTTTGATTGTGTGCCTTTTATGACAGGAAACGTGATTCATGATTTGCTCATGCGTTTTGTATAGTATTTCAGTCCCACTCAAAAGATTGATCTTATTTCCTGTCTTATTGAATAATTTATACAATATTTCAACTTTAGTTTCATTCAACAATAAAATTATAATATCCCTACTCCATATTCGACTCATAATTTAAAGTTTATTTGAGACACAATCCGAATTTTAATTGCATTTCCCAAGCGGATTCTTTTGCGCCCCTTACCTTGAAAACTGGTAACAATTTTGGTAAAACAATAACATAACATTGATAGTGCAACTGTCCCTGCATTTTCATTACACTCTTACAAAAAATTCCACTCGCTTTCGCATTAGTTCAATTATTCCCCGGTGACGGCATTATCGTATACTTTCGCATCTCTAGCCTCTTACTTGATATCTTGCTGTTATGTTATTGGCTTCGATGCGTCAATCGAGCTAGTTTTTGCTGTTTTGAACCAGGTATATTATGAAGGCAGTCGATAGATGATCCTAGATGTCGTATTAATTAGGCCCCGATCCACGAATCGTGGCCACCGCTGCTTTGCATTCACCAAAGATTTCTGAATCTTCGCCTTCGCCCCTGAAGCGTTCATTGTTGGACTTTATGTGTTGTAGTGCTCAGTCAATGTCATCGGACTCTTGCTAATGACATTGGCCGGCTTCCATGTTGTAGCCACTCCTTGGTGTGCTACGCGGAGGATTATATCAAATCATTATATCATTTGTCTCTGTCGCCTAAAACTGTGTTATTTCATGCATGCTACGTGCGATATGAACGCTTAGTTCAGGTAATAATTGTTTCCGGTATTAATTGTTAATTTATCCTTGCCATCACGTTACACAAGTGGGTATGCAGCTAGAAGGATTCCTACTAAAAAAAACGATCGCTCTCACCGGTCGTCTTTCGCAACGGGCATTTCTAACCAGCACTCGTCTATCTAACACAGGGTGGTCCAACGTTGTCGGTTCCGCGGGCCACAAAATTATTTTTGCATTGTTCGCGGGCCACAATAGTGCCAAGAATAAGTGGACAGTGCAATACAAAACAAACACCTTTATTGTGCAATTACATAGTTATCAGGCTTGGTCATTCTAGGCTAATAGAATCCGCATTCGATTTTTAGTTTTCTATAATGCCTATATTGTTAGTATATATTCCCGACCAAAAAGTTAGTAATCCAGATAACAATTTAGACTGCCAAGTGCCAAGCACATCATTCAACTTCGCTAGTTTCCCCAGCTAGCCATAACACTATTAATGACATTGAGTGACATTAGTGATGACAATATGTCAAAAGATTTTTCTGATTAATTTTATGACGAAACAACACGAAATGCGATTTTTTGATTACTCTCCGAATGTGACGCGGGCCACAGATAATGAAGCGGCGGGCCACATGTGGCCCGCGGGCCTGGGTTTGGACCACCCTGATCTAACATGTGCATCTTTTATGATATCAGGTAACAACACATTCGTTTATCTGCCTCCGCGTTTATCTCTTTAGCTTTTTCGGACCTCCAAAAGTATGTGCACCAAGATGGCGCACAACCTGAACATAGTATGTGTACCAGGTTAGAGTTCAGGTTGTGCGCCATCTTGTTGCACATACTCCGGGAGCGCCTTTTTTTCTGACTTTTGGCTGCATTTGGGTATCCCATACTTTTAACACTATCGTGGCGACTCAGTTTTTGTAACATATATTACAAATCTGTGGGCAGAATTATAATCAATTTCCAATTAGGCTAGAGAAATTTGAAATCATTCGAAGGAAAAGACTTTGAATTAAAAAATGTACACATCTTATGTAGCTACCTTTCAACCACGTTAAATCATACAAATATCCATTGAATTTCACACATTCTGCCACTAGGCGCTACAAAATTTAAAGTTGTCTTTTATTTATGCTCACCCAACATTTAAATTGTTGTTTTGTTTCATTGCTCATAAGTACATCTTATGGCACTGAAACATAACTTCATCTTTTGTTACTATCACATTCTTGTTATTTAAGCAAGTACATTTTCAAAATTTCAATTTTTATCTCATTTGCATTTGAAATGTCAATTGCTCATGCTGGCATAAATTTCTATGCTGGCTGCTCTCAATGACGAGTACTTTGCAATTTTCGAGTTTATTATCGATAGGCGGGAAACGGATATGGGCGGCGGAATTAAATAAACTTAACTGGTTTGTTATTGTTCTTAATAATCGGCAAAGCGGGCGCTAATTAAGACTAAAAATTAGTCTTTCTGGGCGGGATGGTTACTTTAGTCGTTTAGTGATTCGGCGAATGGGCCGTCCTTTGTCTCTATCTATTTCCGCAGGTAATTAAACTCAATATCAACATCCATAACTTGGTAGGCCCTTTCAAACCATTGAGATTTTGGTATTTTGAACATAGTAATCGCGACCCATGTGACCAGCCGTCATTTCGGAGCCTAATATTTTAGGTGTATAAATATTACCTGACATATACATACTAAAAAACAATCAATAAAAAATAAATGCAAATTTTACTACTTTTATTGAATTTACTCGTTACAATGTTCATCAACTATTCAAAACAACAAATTGTGTGGACCGGCAAATTGGAGAGATGTAACCAAATTTTAATTAAACAACGTCAAAATGCTTCCAATATCTAGCTTTGGCATGTGTAATAACTTTATTGAACTCCAAAATTGCATCAATAAACTATATCCAAGATTCAATTCGTTTAAAATAGACGGAATAGAAAAAAGCATGAATATAATCGATGACTTGAATATATTCTACTGCGTAATATATAACAATTAAAAATGTTTTAATATCGGCAAATTACAATATTCGTAAAATTTATTACGGGTAATTCTACGCTTCGAAATGTTTCAGTTTAATAAGTAGAAAGTTGGGTTGTTAAATAACCCGAAAAATATGTACAACGCCTAGATATGGAATAGATTCGAATTGCCGTAAAATAAACAGTAGACGCAAAGCTTAGGATTATTTAATTGTTTACGACCATTGTGTGCAACTTAACATACATTCCAAGAAATTTTCGGTAAATTTTGCCTTCATTTTAGGGGTAAAAAATTTAAAAATAAAACTGATCGTTTTATTTATCGTAAACTGATTCACCTACAAATGTCGATGTATGAGTCGCGGCGTGGTATGAGTCAATGTTGAGCGCTCACACTGATAAGGGAGAGCAGCCAATCAGACGCTATATTGCAAACGCGTAAATTATCACACGCTTTTTTGTTGTTGCTTTACTCCCTAATTTGTCCGTTTGATTGACGAATTCTAGACTTTTGGACTTCGATATGTATAGTATACCGTGCGGAAATACACCCGCTAAGCATCGACGTATGCGCTATTAACGCGACAATAACATATTAAACTCTGTTTCTACTATTATTTTATGATTTCTACGACTTAAGTTGTCCTTCGTACACACAAAACTACATCTACAATGCTAAGGAAAAAATGATATGTTATCGAGCTCAAAATATCTCAGGGTGCTGCAAAATTTCTAACTCTGCCTGGGGATTGTGGAGGACCATCGTCATGGTCATCATTATTGATGTTTGACGGAGGTGGCAACACCGATCTTCTCCGTGGCACAGGTGCTGCATCAGAAAATTCTACGAACATCAATTTCACTGGGGGCATTGCCGTAAAGAATTGAACCGGTTGCACAGTTATGATTGGTTCGCATTCGTAGACGCCTGAATTGACAATATAAAAAATACCATTGGTATAAACTTCAAACTGACAGATAAAATAAAAATAAAAACTGACCCAGATCACTTGCTATTTCTCGCAGCTTTCTATCAACCTCTCTCTCTTCGTCGAATGCCAAACTTTGATCCAAGCAAGTTGTCATAAGATAAGAGTCTGCAAATAGATCGATTGAAAAAAAAAACTTCACTACAATTTTACTTTGGTTTCCACAACTGTTCACCTGATTACTCGAGCTGGGAATTTCTGAATATTTAATGTTTCCAGAATCGAATGGAATATACAGAGTGTCTCATGAGTTAGTATACACTTTTAATTTTGATTTGCTTTTCAAGTAGTTATCATAGAGCGTTCACTTCTTTGGAAAATATGGTATGGATAAGTAGTAAAATTCAGGTATTGTTTGCATTTTTTATCAACTCACAGAATGACAAATAGATGGCCCAAAAAATGGGGTGCAAAATTGCTATTTGGCAAGAAGCATATAAATCAGTAAGGCAAACTCAGAGCCTCTTTAACAGAGAATTTGGAATTAATTCGGCTCTGAATGTTTTCCTCAGAGCATCCGCTCCCTGGTCTTCCCGATTTTTGAGCAGCATCTACAGATTCAGTTTCCATTAATTTACAATGATTTGCATAAATTATTCGTCGTGTTATATCCGAATTAATTCCAAATTCTATGTTAAAGATGCGCTGAGTTTGCCTTACTGATTTATATGCTTCTTGACAAACAGCAATTTGGCACCTCATTTCTTGGGCTAATGTCTTTATCATTCTGTGGGTTGGTAAAAATGCAAACAATACCTAAATTTTACTACTTATTCATACTATGTTTTCTGAAGAAATGAACGCTCTATGACGAGTGCCTGAAAAACAAATCAAAATTAAAAGTGTATACTTATTTTTGAGACACCCTGTATTGTTCGAATTGAATCTCGAATACTTCAAGATATTCGAAGATATGTAAATGTATGTGATTTTTTGTTGCTATAACTCACTACAGGAGAAAAATGGTCATATGTCAGAATTGCATTGTAAAAATATGGCTTCAATAAGGTATGAGGAATTCACTTCGACCTTTGGCGGACAAAAAAACGGACCTCCCGAAGTACGGGTTCAGGGTATGCGACATCTTGGTGCGCATATTTCAGGAGTAACAAAAAAAACAACATTCGACGGGGATTCGAAATTTCAGTCGTATCCTACTAATTACAATATTTTGACGATTAAATTTTGAAAATAAAATTAATTGATTAAAATCATTCTAAAACAAATAGCGTTTTGTTTTTCAGGTACTTTTCTAATTTTGTAACATACATATAATCTTAAACCACAAGTTATTGTGCTATTATCTGACAGAAAGTCAAATTATTTTATTATTTTATACACGTACCTGAATCCAAAATCTTATCGGCGATTTTTTTCCATTTCTTTTCCAACTGCCAGCGTTTTGTTGTCTCTGACAGTTTTGCCTTGTCTTCCTCTGGTTTATATAAAATACGTAACTGCTCGAACTTACTCGAAAAGCATTATTTTAAGTCTAATCTAGTACATAATGTTCTGGCTTAAGGCGTGGGATTACCTGCTGAATATTTACCGCTTGAATACGCAGCGCCTACTGATAAATCAATCAGAGTAAAGACAGAACACGTTGTTTGAAAAGAACACTAGGGCTTATTTTGGGGGTGATGTCATTTATATTCATTTATTCAAAACAAAAGTACCAAGCAGAGAGTTACGACATTTTTAAATATACAAAATATGGAAACCGATATCCATTTACTTCTGAATAACACGTTTTTATTAAAAAAAAAAACTGGTAAACATAGATTATTCAAAAATTACAAATCATAAAAAAGAGGTAGGGGAGATTTCCTGCTATCGACTGAATAAAAAATATTCGCGCTATCGACTAAGTCTTATTTTAAGGGGAGGGCTTATATTAAAATCATTTTTAAAATTCCGGCTAGGTCTTATTTTAAGACTAGGTCTTATTTTCGGGAAAACCCAGTAATAGACGTTTAATGGATTTTTGTTAATACGGCACAATATTTGATGAGTTGTTATTGCGTGAATATTTAAGCTACGATGAAGACACGTTTAATTATTTCAGCAGTCCATTACCTGTAAAGGCATCGCTAACGTATGCATCTATCAGCAAAGCATTAAATATTTTTCTGATCTCCTCTTTTCCCAGAATATCTTTAACTGAAATGTGGAAAGGTTAATGAACGAACATTATTACCTACAATATTACGTGCACCGTACATTATTGATCTGTATTCCAATGGGTGAGTTATCGAATAATTATATCTGAATGTTTTTTTTGAAGATTTCATTTCTATCACGCCATTAGCAGTTTCAAGACTATTATCGTGGGTTCAGTACGTACTTTTATTGACTCTTAATTTTTTTTTAAAGCCAGGGCAACTGATGCGATTCTTGGGGGTGGAGTGTGCCAAGTTAGTTAAAAACAAATACCATCTTCTGGTAGATCATGAAGCATGTTGTCTTCGGTCTTATCATCGTTACAAGCTTGCAGAAGTAATTCTGCGGCAGCTTCTCTATGCTTCCAGATGTTGAGTGGAATAGGATACTGTGTTCCTAGACATTTAATTGCATTGTAACAGTTTGAGAATGTTATCACAGACTTGATTCAATGTTAGAAATTTAGGATCTTTACCTTCGAGGATGTCCCAATATTTCACTGGTGTGAGGCGAATGAAAAGATCCAGTTTGCCGTTGCCACCGATACCTGGAGTGTAATATTTAATTTGTATAATTTAACTTTATAAGCGTATTGAGATTTTAGTCAACTATCCATCAACTATAAGAAAAGAAAACTTTTAGATTTTTACTACAGTATTTTACAAATTATTTTGAGTGTGTGGTGGTAGTACTATTAAATACAGCAGACGACGATAATTAAATTTGTAATTTGGCCGTTTTCTGGTCCGAATTTTAAATACCCTACTGAGCTTGATTAAAATTAATTTAAATTTTAAAATGATTCCAAGTGAAATGTTTCAATCAATTCAACGATGTTTATCAACTTGATTCAATGTTTGTTTCAGTGAAATAAAGATTCAAAATTATAATTACATCAAGAACTCAGATATGATTTTTCATCTACTTTCTGGTAAATAATAATCGACTAGTCTATAATAAAAGGTGATATGGATTTTATATGATTTTTTGAATACGGTAATTATCGTTTGGAATACTCGCTTGCTGTGTGCTTTTTCCTTTTCGTAGTTGAAATTCAACGATTTCGTGATTTGCAGCTCAATAAATTCTGTTAAATATTGCCAATCCAGCAATCTATCCATCATATCTTCACTTTCCTTGATTTCCTCCAAGCAGTCGTTTATATTTCTCCAGGCTTCATCTTCTTCGTCATAACTGATTCGTTTCGTTATTGTTGCCACCGCAAGCGTGTATCTTGCAGCATTGCTGACCATTTTAGCCTGACAATTTAAGATAATTTGCCGAGAAGACTCCTCATTTTCAGAACTTTTAAATGGTACCCAATTTTCAAATGGTACCTCAAATTCTTCATGTTTTTAATTTACGTGTTCACACACGGTTAAAATGACGAATTGCCACAATTTATTTATGATAGTGAATTAAGCTATTTGGGGTAGAACGCGAGAGATAAACTTTGCAAACGATAAATGCGGTTTGCCATCTGATTTATAAAATGATAGAATATTATCTTAATGGAATCGGTTAAATAGTTTGGAGAATCCAAATAACAACTTTTCAGCGTTATTGTAGTTTTACAGCATTTAACTGGCTTACCTGTGTACCTCCATCGTCAGGTCGAATCAAATATGCCTAGAACAAAGAAACACACAGAAACTGATAGTGACAGTTTAAGCTTTACATTTTACTCAATTTGTCATCAAGGGTAATTTACATGAAAAATTTTAAATCACAATTTGACAATAAAAAAATCGTGGCTTTAGAATGTGAAATTTATATTATGCGACAAAATTATTTCCCAGTTCATATATTTATGGTCTATTGCTAGGTAGATGATAAAAAAAATTAATACATGCTTACATTGCTACAGATTAAGCAGCCCAGCAGAACCAACGCCCCATACATTGTCGATATCATCAAATTGAAATATTTCAGAATATTATACACTCTCTAACTGACTGACTAGCATAATATATTCAGATATTATACACTCTCTAACTGACTGACTGAATGATCCGATGAAGTAATGGAATGGAAGTAATGGAGTAATGTAAATATATATAAAGTACTTCATGACATAATGTTTATTGTTCTTCATTTACTCATATACCAATCAGGCCATCTATATATTTTAACGTTGCCTGGCTTCCCATGGAAATGAAGTGTCCCACTATTACAAATATGTGTCCACGGATTAGAACATTACGTAAAATGGACAATGGTCGACAAGGGAATGAATCGTTGTCAAACTCGCTACCATGCGACTCGTGGTACCCGCGTAGTATCCATCGACTGGACTATCAATTGCCAAGACGACTAATTGATGCGATACGGTACTATTTCCCAAAATATGTTCTAAATAACATGATACAATAGCCACTTAGTAAGTCGTATATTCAAAAACATTCTTCCTATGAGAATGCTAATAGTTATTAAAATAATTTTTCGTGTCAATTTTGGACCCCTTAACACGCAACTGTACAGTTATGATACGCTTCGTCAAAATTCGATGTTTAAATTTTAACGGAGTTGCCGCCACGAAGTAATGAAATATGAACCTTTAAGAACTTCATTTCAAAGTCTAGCGCAGTAGATCACTATTACCAAATATTTCCTAAAACAACAAGAGAGCTATGCTCAAATATATGGACACGTAGCGCCACATAATTTTGATGACTTCATAACAAAAAATAAAAGTGATAGCCCTCTAGCAAAAAGTATATTCTTTAATACGTAGCGCCACATAATTTTGATGACTTCATAACAAAAAATAAAAGTGATAGCCCTCTAGCAAAAAGTATATTCTTTAATCACTGAAAATTTCAAAGCAATTGGTCCAGTAATCAAAGAGAAAAGCGATTTCTTTATTTTGATACAAAGAACAACATAATAACAAAACGATCGTTATGTCCACTACGTGTCCAATAAACAAAAATACGCTGAGTTTTATCTTCAAGTTGTCCTGAACCTGTTCGAGCACACTAAGCGTAGGTTAGAGTTTGATAGTGGCCAATCTTTCTTTTACTTATTACGTACAACCACAACCATGTCTGAAATAAATCCACAATACAGTTTGTAATCAAAAGAATTAATTCAATTATCAAGTACTTAATGACGCTCGTAAATTGATTGTGAATTGAATTTATATTTAGTTATTTTTATATGACTTTGAACTAGAATTTTGGTTTTGCTATGCTCATATATAAAAATACAAAAAAATGACTAACATCTTGCTGTGGTAGCAGAGTCCAATATTGGAACGTATCAATAATAACATCGGTACGGGAGCCAAATCGACGTTATGATCGCATAATTTTTGTAAATTACTGATTATTTTTTCTGACGTAAAGTAATTTTGATTTTCAAATCAATTTGTCTAATTAGCAAACAATAAATTGAAACGTCGGTATAGTGCACAAGTTCAAAGCCCATTGAATTTGATTTTTCAATTAGCATTCATTAGAGGCAGAGGTAATACAATTAACGTCGATTTACGTAATTAGTATTAATAGTCACAATAACACATTCATACATGTTTTGAAACAATTAGTATTCACAATCTAACACACATTGCCGATATAGAAACCTATATTTCCATTCGAGTCAATACGTTAACCATATTAATTATTATATTAGCTCTGTTCCTTAATCCTTCTCCTTATACATAGGTGGAAATTTAAACGTAGTTTAAACGTTGATGCCACACCACAAAAAGTGCTAATGGTTGTAGGCTACTATAGAAATTTCAGTATATCATCTATACTAAATTGTGAACCTATATTCAGTCATTTTATTTGAGTCTTGCCAGAAATGAATTCAAAATGCAAACGCACACAATGTTAATTAGTGTGGTGCTAATTGATTTCTGTATAATAACATGAGAAATTCTCAAATATATAGAGGCAAAGATCTCGATTCGGTACAAATATTCCCATTCAAAATTCTGGTGAAATATCGTCTTTTATATCAAATTTTAAAAAAGGCACTTAAAACTTCCATCTTTATACCCACAAAGCATGGGTTGGTCATATTTCTGCGATTTTTGTACTTTATCCTAGGATGTGATTCACAAAATGGGGCGAGATAACGCAAGCGGATAGAAATAATTATTTCAGAATGTTGTATTTCTTAGTCTCAAGAGTTTTTCTTTCTACACAAAGTCACCGCTGCTGATTTAACCCGACTGGAAATGAATGTCCCCAAAAATGAACAGACAACAATGGGGAACCAACATGCTATCGCAATTTAGAAAAAAAATGCCAAACTAAATATAAACTTACATTACGATACATAAGTCACACCTTTACAAGAATATATCTTTATTTATAAAAATAGAATCGATATTTGAATAATTTCTACCATCGTATATTACATGATATTGCAATGTACTTGTTTGAAGTATAAACCATTCTAATGTTAAAACGAGTACAAGTCTACAAAGTTGAATGTATTGCAGATCACCCTACTTAAATGTATATTAAAACTTGAGAGCAACCTCATGGATGGACACAAGGCGTAATAAAAAGAATGAGGTTATGCTTGAAATAAACATGCAATCGTAATGAATTTTGGTTTCATTATTTGAAGCCATATTATAAATATAACACCATAACAGTTCATTTTTATCTAATTCATGAAAGAGGGATTTCAAGAAGGAAAGAATCTCATTTACCCAAAACAATGGGATTTCAAAAGAAAAGTAGTCCAAATTATTGTTAAAATCAACACTACTATTTAAATATGACAAATTTAACACTGGTATTCAGCAGGAGTAGCATTACCTATTACATTCATAATAATAGAGAGGGTGTTTGAATGTCAATAACATTTACAACAGTTTATCAAATTAACTTATAGCAATAAACATTCAGTTGGTCCATCAAACATCCCAGATCAAGCCAATCTAGAGTACTCAATCCTTATAGGGTGTACTGTAGAGCTTTGAACCTTAGGTGCAACGGAGACAGGTATGCTCCATCATCTATCTGTGCTTGACATAGACTTTCAAATCAGCTTGGCATTTATGATGCAATATATATGAACATTGAACAATCAAGGTTTATGCAATGTTGATTCAGAAGATAATAGAGATGATGAGTTGTCTGACATGAGTAGAGAAGATTCATTGGATTGCGAAGCATTGGCAAATTCTCTCTGAAACATATCATTTGCATATACTTCACACATTCCATTTACCTCATGCGTGACAGAGGTTATCACCTCGTCCAAAACTTTGTCAGATAACCTGTACAAAGCAAATTTAGGAAACGTCATCAGTAAAAGTAAAAGCTTCATTCTGGATTTTTTTTCCAAAAATATAGATGAAACAAAATTTGTAAAAAAAACAAATTTGCTCAGACTTATTCCCGAGTTCTCTAAGACCTGCATGATATTCAGGCAATTTTTTGTAGATACAATCTTCAATTAGTGACATAGAAATAATTTTATAAAAATACATTAGAAAGCATCAAAATAATGTAGGTTTCAAGACACCATAGTCAATACATTATTTTAAATTTTTTTTAGAGACAAATTTTTCAATATCTATGATCATGGGTGGCTTACCACTTTTAAATTAATTAATAATGTAAACATACTCTTCTACAAGTTTCCATGGATCAAAATTTCCTTTAGGTTCGTGAAATGTGAATTTCAGGTGTCGTTCATACTGTTGTTTGCATCTGTTCACAGCATTTATGGTCGAAACCGGAAGGATCAAGGTTCTGCCAGTGAATGGACGACTTTTATTTGTCGCCTGTTGAAAAAAATAAAAAATTATACTATAATTTTAATATATATTGAAAGTTGAACAATTTCTTTTAGGGGTCGAAGTGATATTATATTTTAAACATACCAGTTCACGCTGAAGATGCCTCACTGTTGGTTCATGTCGAATTTCAGCAGAGTCTTCTTGAGGTAGAAAATTGACAATTCTGAAAGCAAGAGCATATTTTTCATTGTTTGAAGAGGAAAATAAATTTCTAATACGAACAGTTCGATTGTTTTGGATTAATAAATATTCTTGTGCATCATAATTTTCATCATTTAATTTTTATATGGTCTTCTCTCAAACTCATGCTTGAGCAGATCTAGAAATATGTGATGACACTCCAGTTAGTCATTGTAATTATTCGACCCTAACCTTTTGTTGACTGATATGTTTGGCATAAGCTTGAAAAAAATCTTTGTAAGAATTAGACTAAACTGTTAATATAGCAAACACCTTAATATACTATGATTGAAGAATTCGATTGTTTCAGCAAATATCTGCACCACTGCAATATATATAGGGATACAATTGAGAGGGCATGTTCATTAGAAAACCAAACAGCAATAAGAAAAGTTTTTAGAAAAACAAATACCAATAGAACTGTGACTATGTAAATATATAATTGTGAAAATATGACTTCCAGGGTGAATTCAATATATATTGGCAAGTATATTTTTATGCATTTACACTCTTGAATGTTGAATCCTACAACAAAGTTGCCAACTATACTTCTAATATATCTTAGACAATTCCCCCAAAAAATGTCTACACACCTCTTTGGGGGATCACTAGCAGTTGAAGTTAATGTTTTTGTGAAGTTGCTTGGCTGTGGGCTGGTAGGTGCTGAATCCCTAACATATGTTGATGGTGTGTGATCTTCTGGTTTCATATCAAGGTAGTTGATCTAAAAATGCAATAAATTGCTGAGGAGCATTTACTAATAATTAAATATTCCAAAACATTCAAGAGAAAATGAGCCAAGAATTAATACCAACTAAATCAGTAAAATTTTGTCTATCGATCGCATATCAAGGCATAGATGAGTTCTCTTGATATCAGTAACTAACTAAAATTAAATGCTGAAGTAAGAAATAAACCAAATAAAACATACTTCCTGCCATCTTCTTCTGATTGCCTCTTCCTCTTTTCCTATCGTGTCAAGCCTCATCAACAATGATTCAATGGAAGGACCTTGATATAAATCAACTGCTTCTTTCTCTACCTCTTGTTGTCGATAAAAACTACAGAGTCAAAAAATATCAAAGTATTAACAAATAATTTTAAATTAAACACTGAATGGAGCAGCTTACTAAAATTAAGAATACTGAAAAAAAATACAGGAGAAATTAGCATGGAAACAATGGGGTCAGTATAATTTACAATTGTCAATTCAAAAGCTACAAAACATTAAAAACTAATTTTTAATTTAACAATGCAAAATTACTTTTTCATTTCCTTTCGTGTTTCATCAATAATATCACGAACTTGACTTTCTAAATTGGCTTCTTCTGCAGTTTTACGTTGTACTTTGGGTGTATCTTTATTTGCTGATTTTGCCAATTTTTCGACCTAGAATTTAACACAAGCTTTGAAAAAGAGTCAAAATTTCACCCACGCAATCACTACAATACAATGTCTAAAACACTTTTGCAGAATCTAGTTCATGCTACATTCTCTACATCTCAATCCTCAGTGAGATAGTGAAACGCATATTTTCAAATAAGTGAGCATGAAATAAGTTACTAGTGTCAAGCTCAAACTAAATAACATTGGTTTCATGGGTAAAATGTCTGATAAGTATTCAGCTTTTATGTCGAGCATGGACACTATGTAGGGGTAGATCAGGGGTTCTCAAACAGTGGGGCACGCCCAACAAGGGGGTCGTAGACAATTTTTTGAGAAAGCGTGAAGCAAATTAAAAATTAAAATATTTATTAAATTTCATCTTGCCCGCCTTGTTTTGAATATTAACATTTACATTTATTTCATTGTTTACGTTCCATCCACTTATTTTTAACGTATTTTTTGAATAAAATTTACTTTTGCTTTTCTATCTGTTGATTATAGCTAAATGTTAGCTAGTTATTTTTGAGGTGTGGCACGAGACTTGACAAATTCTAAAAAGGGTCTTAAAAACTTTTCAGAATCACTGATGTAGATCATAGTCTCCATGCATATTCCACCAAATTGTCATATCAGATAGAGATATAAGACACAAGAAGTTAATAGTGTAGGAAGTATAATATGACTGATACCTTTTGTAGCAATGGGTTAATTCTGTTTCTCAATTCCATCTCCAATTCAGAAGCGAGTTTATTTTTCAATGTTCTCAAATCTCTAGGTGATTCTACTGAGTGTGTATCTGCCAAAAAATTATTGGTCAAAATTGTGAAAAAATAGTAATAGATAGATGAAGTTATCATCACTGAAACAATGTCACACACTGAATTAATTGTAATGTAGTCTCAATTAGTAAAACTAGATATGATTATATTGCGAATAATGTATTATTCATTTTTCAAAGCACATTACTTCAATCAACACAATATAATTCCCAGGCATTTTCATTGAGCAACAAAATAGAAATTTAAAACTGAATATCCATAGTACAAGGTGCCTGGATTATATTTTCAGAACTTGTTTGGAATAAATTTATGAAATCACTAAAATTTGGTGAAAGATATATAAAAATGTGCAGATAAAAATTATATACCAATGTCATGTTCGATGGATGACCCTCGAGGTGTACTGTGGAATTTGACTTGTTTTATTGGATGTGACCTGAATCCCTTTGAGGGAGCAGGACTTTCAAGTAGGGGTGTCAAAGGAGGAGGACCCACTTCTTTATAGGGAGAATTTGGAGGAGGAATCCATTCAGAACGATCAAATATGTCAGTCATTTGTGGACGAGTAGAATCCATAGCTGAAAAAAGTGTTGTGTATTTATATAGATATTCATGTATACAGAATTCGGGAGAATTCTGGGAGAGTCAAGGGTTGTTTATTAAAATTACGAAATAAAAGCAGTGAATGCCGATGAAATAAAATATATCAGTTCATGATCAGTGTCAGGGCTGTGAGGTCTGAATTTGAAGTCACATTTCTCAAATCCCCCAGCGTCAGGGAGTCAAAATTAAAATTTTGAATTGTCCATAAAGAAGTCTGTAAATTAGACAGAAACACAAAAAGCATTAAAGTAAGAATGCTTAAAAGACAATTAATAAAAGCTTGCATTCGTTGGAAGTTCTTGTTATCAAAATTTGATTATCAGGAGTTTAGAGCTGAAGTCAAAAAGTTTCTTAAAATAGAGTCAGGGAGTTTGTTGTAGTAAATTTTTTCCGAATTCACAGCTCATTTATTGCATCTTTTTTCTATACAATTTAAACTAGTAATTAAAATAAATTAGCTATTTGAATTTGGATATCTTTCCTTTCCTTAATTGATATATCCCACTCAAGGGAGACAACAGATTTAAGTTCATCACTGTATTAAACTGGATACATCTCATTAATTTCTAATTCACTGCACAATTTAACTATTTGAAACATACAGAAACTTAATTTTTGTAAAGCATGATACTATACAAATATGTATGACACTTTGTTCAGGAGCAGAATCAATTTGCATCATTGTTATAACCTACCTCTGTTAGGCTGTTGAATGACTTTGGAAGGAGTTCTTTGTTTATGTGGACTCCGCATGTGTGTGTTTCGTGACTGTTTAGGCTGGACATAACTTTTCTTCACCATTATAACTTCTTTTGATTTAAATGATCTTTGAGGCGTTTTGGTTTGTTTGGCAGATGATTTCAAACGATGATCTGTAGGTACGGTAGGTCTTAGATAATTGTTTGAATTCAGAAAAATAGAAACTTAGTCACCGTTATCGATAGAATAGTATTGTAATAAGACCATAATAATATTGAATTGAAACATGAACATTAAAATAGTTCCACACTATACTATGTACACGAATTTAATAAAACATTGATATTTTGTAACACATATTTGGCTCTGAATAAGATACCAGTGCAATATAACAGACAACAATATGATATTAATTGAAAGTGACAAACAAATAAACATACCGTACCTACTTAAAAGTGACAAACAAATAAACATAGGCCTACCTAGTTTAGGGCTAGCTGGTTTGGGAATATATTTTGGTTCCATATCCTTGAGCAAATCTGAAATTTTTTCAACTTCTTCAATGTTTGCTAGATCAAGTTGCAAAGAACACAACGACAATTCTCTGAAAATCAAACATGAAACTGAGAGAATACAATTTCACTAAATATTGAACAGTTCTAGATAGCACTTTATATAAAATATTGATTCCAGTATCTCAAAAGCTATGGATAATAAATGTCCTTTATAACAGAATTGATGTAAGCTTATAAGGTTTGTTGAGCAGTGCATACTAAATCATTTTTGTGATTCATTGCTGGATCAAGAGACATATTCAATAACATATGCTAATCTAAATCAAAATACTTAGAATAGAATATAGAATAGAATATTATTGATTGACTGTATTGTGATTTTAAAAGCAAGTGCTTTCTATAGGTATCATATTATTCTAAGCTGTCTTATTTTCATTTAAGAAACATGAGTTATCTTAACAGCCTAGCCTAACATAATTCTTACTTGATGAGTCTCGACACTTCTTGATACAAAGCATTGATAGCTACAAAATTATCATCAAACATTAAATGTTCAGGAATTTGTGTGCAGTAAACTTGCATCAATCTAACTGTGCCTCTGTGAACAGCAGCAAGTCGGCTATATATTCTTTCCTGATAAAAAATTATCAAAACATGTCAGCATTCTAATTTCAGGAACAGAAAACCTCCATATTTTTGACAGGATGATTTGACGAAAATAGTTTCATAAGCATGAAATCATATCATAGACTCAGTATTGAATTAAATACCTACCTTTTATATATTCTGACTTAATTGGAGTGCGTCTTATCACACTTTATTTATGTTATGTTTTGATGCACATAGAAAGAGATTTCAAAAAAATGACACATCACAGATGATAATGTTTTTTGAATGCATTGAATTGGTTTCAATGGTGTAGTTTGTTTTCATTTAAAGATATTTAGTCAAGATAAGGAACAATTTATGATACATACCTTTTTTACATTAGGTGTTCTATCTGCTTTATTGCTTCGGCTAAGATCTTCCTTGACAATCTGAACTTGTTGCTGAAGTGCATAAACTGTTCTTGAAGATTTTCTCATCTTTGGGAATTGAATAAAAATAAATGTCAATTTGATCAGAAAAATATCACTTTTCTTTGTTTATTCAGCATTGGTTGCAAATGTATCACAAACTGTAGGGGCAGCAACCATGGTTGAAAATTACCTCTGACTAGGCAAAAAAATTTCAATGCTTCTTTAGAAAGAATGTTAGGTATTTATAATTTTAATCTTTTAGTTAACTATGTCGAAATTTGGTTTACATTAATTAATTCTAATTACATTACCGTACATGAATTCTACAAACTGGGTTCTTTTGAATTAACAATCCAAAATTCATCTTAACTGTATTGTTAAAAATCAGAAGTTTCTATCTAGTACAAATTATGACATTTGTGACATATACATTGTCATGATTCATGAACATCGGCCATTAGTATATGTTTTTTTAATTTGTAACCTGTTCAAGATGGCGAACTATCAATCTCTGTTCTTCTTCTTGATCCAAAGAAAGAAGTTTTTGTTGAAACAAAACATCACGATCTGCAAAATATTTGTTTTCATTTTTCAGAACTGTCAACATCATATCTCAGTATCTCTCATAAAACTTTGTATAGGCTATTAATATTTAGCTTTAACATATATCTGAAACCATATAACTACCGTAGTTATTACTGTCAATAGCCTATTTTTCATTTTCTGATCTTTGAAGTCTTATTGAAATTTGTGTGGCTTGATAATAAGTTGATATACCAGCAATAAGAACCATTTATTTGAAAATCTCGCAATAAGATAATTTGACATAGTTTCTTTTGATATCTCCATCAAATGCACACAAATAGAAAAAAGTTATTGGAGTATTTGGTTGCATTAAGTATTAGGTTGTATTAAGTAAGGCCGCAAAATTAAATTACTAGAATAATATGGGATTGCTGGAATAAATCATGAAACTCAAAGCTTCCGAAAACAAATCACTGGGTAATTCCATCTAACTAACCGAATGAGAGGCCGTGGTTCGCCATATGATTAGACCATAATATAGCCTTTTCTCTCCCCTGGGATAAATTTGTAAATCCTATCCTAATACCGTAAAACCCAAAATCGAGAAAAAACAATAATGAGGTTGAAAACACAGAAACATAGTACGGTACCAAGTGTACCAAATGCTCACAAATTAGGGAAATCAAATAAATGAATGACAAAATGATATTACATTACATAACCTTGCATATTTTTGTCCATTGAAAAAATATGTTGCCTCAGATCTAGTCGCAATCTCTTAATATCAAGCATTTCTTGTTCATATTTGGAAGGTTTTGATACTGAAATTCCATTCAACTGACGATTTGGTGACTGTTTTCTTCCTTTTGGAACAGTCTTCTTTTTGTGTGTTTGAGTGTGATTGGACGATAACGGTAAATTGACTCCTTTTTTTGGTTTTGAATTAACGTTAGCATCTTTCTCAGAGTCTGTTGATATATACAGTTCATTTTCTTTAGCAAAAGCTTGAACAGCTTTTCTTCGCCTGGCAGATTTTAAGTCTTGTTTGGCAAGTTGAAGTGCTTTTGAAAGTCTATCATTGGACAGAACTGAAAGTCTTATTGGACTACCAGATCTTTTTTGATGGACTCTTTTGGATGGCCTGTGTCCCGCAGGAAGGATTCTTTCAAAAATGATTGCGCTTGGGCTAGCAAAATCAGTCTGCAGATTTTCTGGATCCACGGGCACGTCTAAATTAAACTGTAGTTGATTCGCATGCAACATTGTGAACTTATCCAAAAATAAACAGTGAAATGCTTGTAAAGAAACCTTCTACACAAATTCAACAGAAAAGATAATTTATCGGCACAAATTTTATTTCAAGCGTTTGTATTGACCGCTTTGTTCCGGGTCATCGAATGTTGCTGTAGTGATTTCGCCCTGAGGTATTTTAAGGGTGGAGATCAAAAACCTCACTTAACTTAAACTTGGATTAAGACTAATCTCGGGTTAGTTAAACTCGGTTTAACTTCGATAGTTAACCGGAGATCAAAAACCTAGTTTAGCGGTTACTTAACTAATCCTGGTTTAAGTCCGACGCCACGAGGCATTTCATTAAAACGTCGTGGCATGTTGCTCTTTGACCCCGTATTCCCATGGCGATGACAACGCGAACCCAATTTTGTTGTAATTTGCTGTCTTTGCAAAGTCGGATTTTGATGTATTTCGTTGATTTTGCCGAAGCAAAACAAGCTGGGCGGTAGAACTACGAAGAGCTGACGCGCATTACACGAAATATCGAAATAATAACACTTTATCATAAATAGAATTCTTCCCACTACTGGTACAGTCTACAACTACAACAGGGTCGGCTAACCTTTTTGGTCTAAGGGCCACATGTAATTCATTAATAATTGCGCGGGCCACTTGACATGATAGTTATGATCTAGTTTTGCTACACTGCTACAGGTTAATAATAAAAAAATACCCTCACACCAATTTTTCACAATTATTAGAACAATAAAACTGTTGTTTTCCAACCATTGACGGGTTGCCATCAGTGGTTATTCCCGAAAGTTTAGCCAAAGACAAGACGCTTAATCATTTTTATCACAGCTGTCGAAAAATCAATGCCTCTAGTCAAACCCTTAACAGGGGCAATGGCTGCGGTCTCCACGGTAATTTTATATCATCATTAACTACCCGCAAAAAGATAGCAAGTCGCCAACTGAGCAGTAAACTTAATGTCAGCGCTTCCTCAAGCGCCAAGGAATACAATAAAAAATATCCCGCTTTTGCGATTAAAATTCTGTTATGTTAAGTTATGGTCTGTCTTGACAGGCTATTTTTGCAAACACCTAGAAATGCTTCTACATATGGCCTGAGGGCCACGAGTTGGACGACCCTGGTCTACAACATCAATTGAATCTAATATTTTCTCCCTAAACCTCAGCGTAACAACAAACAGACTTCAATTATAGAACCCACATCCTACTTAGAGTGAAAACAAACGAAATGAACACACTTCAGCTGAAAACCTATCCCTGGCAAGTTCTGGGCCACAGGCTTCTACATATTTAACATTATATTATTTTGAAAATTTGTATTGCAAAAATAACTAATATTCATTTGTTCAAATGACTGCTAAAATGTACTGACATTCAAGAAATGGAAAAAGTATGGAATCAATTCGGAAGAGGTGAATTCGGAAGAGGTGCTAAATTTTATCCTGGCTCTACAGCTTTGAGACAGATGCACACAGACACAGGTGCAATCATAGTTGTTGCTTTCGTTGCTATTTGAAAGTTTTATTTATTTTTGCTTCTGCGAAAGACTCGCCAAGTGACGAAAAATCGACATAACTACGTTTGCTTCAAATGTTTTAGCATGTAAGAATTATTTGTTTGTTAAGCTTAAGTTAACCGGGTTCCACATATTTGTTGGACACGAAGTCGTAAAATAAAGCACTGCTGCAACCTTGACTTGACAACATTTTTACTATAATCCTATCCATAACAGTTGTTTGTCTTCATGACCTGAACAGTATAAATGAAAATACAGGGTTAAAGATAGTATATTGATGAAGTGCGCTAGATATTAAAGAAGCAAATTCGACCTAGGCAATGACTAAAACCGAATAATTTGTATTCGAATTTGTACAGATTTTTTTGTATTCTGAAATGATATTTTTGAATTATATAAAATCCAATGTATATTTAATTATATGAATTTGGAGAAGTAAAACAGTAGAGTATTTTTAGTTTTCAGATATTAAATCAAGGCTCTTTTGTCCTCGATTGTGATTGCATGTCGAACAACTTTGCTCTACTCTAAAATCATGTGACACTAGTTTTGCCTGCATGTAACAAGAAATGACTAATGGGAATGATTTTGAAAAGTTTGTCACATCTCGGTTACTTGAACATATCTGGGACAATACCAATAAGAAATTTACCTTGATAAAAGTATCCTCACATTATACGAATAATACAGATTATACACACAAACTAAAAATAATTTTCATTTAACAGCTGATACTAAAGAGGCTGATACGAACATGAATTTAGGACAGTTTACATACAAATAATATGACATTTAAATAGTGACAAACTCACAAATTTGCTCTTCCAATAGAGCTGATGAAATTGATCATCATCATGGCATTCAGACAGTTTACTTGATTTGAAACAGCTGTAGAAATAAATGAAAAATCAGAAAACAATGTTACATTAAAGAAATGTTATGATAGCATGAACCATTGCATTCATGATAAGTCATTGGCAATATATAGTTATCAATATACTCATTCCTGCAATCTAGCATTTGGTGAAATTCATGGTCACGGTACTACATATAGCAAGAGTCAGAATCAATAATACCATATATATCGTACATCTGTGCAAACAGCATACCAATAACATGCAATATGATTTTACATTGGTGTACATCAAAATATCCAGTCAACCTTCTGCTATCTACTTCGGGAACTTGCAGACTTGTGAATTAGCCGATGACAAGATACATACACCAGGGGACAGTGCAGTAGTGATACATAGATATCGTAGGTAAATCTCAGTTCTGCTCATACACAAAATATAATTAAAAGGAATCTTTTGGGCACTGGTAGATCTGAAAATATATCATTTTTGTTAAAACATTTTGAAGTTTATATTACTGTATTAGGACTAGGAGTATCTGTTCGGCGGTACCACTGCGCAACTGCTTATCAACGAAACTATACTAAAATACTGGGCCCTATGTCTGTTTATGACAAGAACCCATATAGCAATAGGCTACTGGTATAACTGTAGTCTACAATCTAAGCTAAAATAAATCTTCAAAAAAACTGCTAAGAAAATTAAAAAACGCAAATACAGAAATGTATCAATACGCTGGGTATGTATTTACCTTACTAGATTTATTATAGTATAGCCCAATTCCACGTTGTAAATAATTTTGTTCGGGCGTAGTACGGTAGGTACCGGTACTACTGTACTAGGTACCGTACAGCACAGGTACCACCGCAAATGCTACATAAGGCAGCCTCGTGGTACAGGTATACAATTATTTATTCGTCGTGACGCTTGTACAGAGCTCCCTGCTACTCCTTTTGTCGCCCCAGAATACAATATAGATTGTACGGTAAGCGATAACATCCAACACGACAAGCGCCGCAATCCAAATGCACTCGACAAACCGAGTTAAACCACCTCCAGACCAGGTTTAAAAAATCGCCGATTTTAAGTCGAGATTTACGTCACAGAAAGTTAAACCACCTTTTTGATCCGGACTTAAACCGCCGATCCAAAGTTAAACTCCGATTCGAGGTTAAACTACCTTTTTGATCTCCACCCTAAACCTTTGACATCTATATTAAATCTGTTGTCATCAGCCATTTATTGGGTAAATGTACTTTATTAGCTGAAAGAGGCTAGATAAGTAGTTCTGAACTGAAATTTATTTAAATTTTTATCATAACGATATAACAACCGCCTTATAAGCTTTGCCCTTACATTAAATAGGTATGATATTTACATGGTCGTATCGCTTCTCCGGGCTCATACCAAAAACTATATTTATTATTATTGTATTGTGTATTGTAATACGGTTATTTGTTTCAGAAATTTCATTCTGTATTATGAGAGTTATAAGCTGGAAATTGGTATAGCTTGAAACGACCGTCTGCATTTCAGAAAAACGAGCGTTCAAAGTACCAGTACGTAAATGCAGTAATACTCCTAGGCAACTTTCCATCGATGTTTTAAAATTTAAGTACTATAGATTTATATCTGATAAGATCATAGAATCTCACGGAACTAATAGTTAAATGTATTGAATTATATGATACATTTGAAACTCATAAATATTCACTTTAGAAGCAGCCGACATTTTGAACAAAATTGCTCATAACTCAATGTCGGAAAGCATGTATAATGAATGAGTTCAATATATTCAAAGTCACCGATATATATGTATGAGATTTATTTCTCAATAAAACCCAAGATTGAAATTAATATTTTAATTGGTTAAAACATAGACAAAACAGCACTAAGGGGTGTAGGCACATGTAGCCTAATTATTGTCATCTGTTACATAAGTACATCTCTTACTACTTTTTGTTTATTATTCAGGGTCACAATTTTGAATTGTGAACGTTGTGTATAACTTTAATGATTACGTTTACGTGACTGCAATTGACTTTATTGATTGTTCAATATGTTGGTAAATATATGTATGACTGGACCAAAATATAGGCAGTTTGGGAGACAATTTACCTTTATCCCTACATTAAAAATAAAAAAAAAAGTTGCTCACGCTTTTGGTGGAATATATTTTATGTGAATAAATTTATTTCAACTGATAGAAAAACCTTTAAAAAATTTTGTTTATCGTTGTTTCTTACTGGTGAACTGAACGTTACACGTTGCAGGTTTCATGCCCAAACGCAGCAGACCATCTAGCCTATACAGGAGGGGATAATTAAGTGAACGTGATTAATCAATTCTTGTTAATTGCTAGTAATTAGTCGGAATGAGTGTAGCTCAAATGCGTTCACAAAATGCCCATTTATCGACTTTAGATCGCAAGGTAGTGATCATAGACGTTGTTTTGCGCAGGCGAATGTATATGCTAAATTTCACTGCGTCGTCATCTAATAAGCATACTGTGGTATATGAAGAATCCACCGAATCTGATGAAGGTTTCATGGTGCCCGCATGGAGCTTGGGAGTGACGTTTGTTTCAACTGTATTATGCTGTCTAATCATTTTAGCCGTTAGTGTTCGGTATCGCAAAAATAGACGCAATCGGAAGTTTTTACATAGATATACACAAAATGGGGGCCGAGTGACGATCGGCAAAAGGCGATTAAATGAAGCAGCTAAGACAGATAAATACCACAATGGGATTGAAATACAAAGAAATATACCGGACATACGAATTGGTGGTTCAACTTGTAGCGCGTCGACGATGCAAAGCTGCCCTGATTATTGCGACAATGCTAAGCTTGGCGTCAAGCTTGATATTCCGCTTTCGAGCAATATATCTATGGCTTCTGGTGTGTATGCTCAAATGAATACGACGCAAGATGCATTGAATGTCGGAGACGGTTCTTTATTTACACCCTCAAACAGCTTGAATCCAAATAATAGCGCTGCAGGATCACATTCCAATTCAAGCATGTTTGGTGAAGGAAGCTATTTCACTCCGGTATTTCGACAACGGCCATATTCAACCGAGCAACGTGAATTTCCTACCCCAGGTATCATCAATTTTTCCAAAAGTGTTAGAAAGCATTTGACTTCGACGATATCAGCTATTGGAGGGGGCAGCGTTGGTACAGATAACGAAACAACAACAGTTGCCTGTTCCGTGTATAAAAACAGATTGGAAATATCAGATAATCAAATTCGACCACATCCATCAGTGACTTCGCTTCACGAAGTAATCGATAACACCGAAGCAACAAACAACAACTGTACCTACCTAACATTTAACGATATATCTGCTCTAAACACTCCACCTGTCAGTTCCATACATCATAACCAACTCCACCGTCTGTCGTCTGAATTCAAACAGCAGACGTCAACTTAAATCTGGTCATAAGGACACTGAATGGCTGCTGATGGATATACTATCAGTTGTTCTTAACTTGGCATTTTGAAACAATATTTCATTACGTTATGTACCATGGTATTAATATATTTTCTTATTCTTTGATTTAACACTGAATGCCCTGGATGAAGAAGTTCGTTAAGTCTTCTGATTAATCTGATATTTATTGATTGAATTAAAATTTCTTTCAAAAACAAATAAATTATAAATTGACCAGATTAATATTATGTATATTTTGTAGAATATCTTCTTCATGTGGTTTTTGTCTGAAAATAAAAATAAAATCATTATATAACCCATGTGTTTAACTACGACTCTTGTAGAACAAAAACTTCATATTGCTGAAATCAAGGTTTGAGTCGAGATGTCTCAACAGGAATGTAATCTTGTATACTTTCGTAATCCTGTTGTTTATAAGTTGGTCCAAATTACAATGACGTCGATATTTGGATACGTTTGAATGTCTCGATTTCAAGCCACCATGCTCTCCTTCACTTGTTCAGAAAATGTTCAGAGTTTGAAGAGGTTCATTGATGAATCTCTACACATTTTCTGAACAAGTCTATTAGGAATAAGTGTGAGTCAGTTACTCGAAGTACGTCATAAATTTGGCATATCCACCTCGACAAAAAATTTGAAACGATACAATATGGTTTGCCAAACTAGTGTGCTATTGAAGCGTGGTGAAATATCCGTATCTACATTTTAGAAAAAAAATATATTAAGAACTTACTCCACATGGAGGCGGTGAATTAAAAGAATAGTCGCATAAACTTGATTCTTCATTGAAAACAGTACCGGGAGGACAGTTGTATATCACTTGATTTGATCCGTCACAAATGTAGAATGACTCGCAAGTATACAAGTACTGTTCCCCAGGTTCTCCTCCCTTTGTAAGCAAAAATATATTTATAATCGATGATCTAGGGCAGGTTACAAAATCCTCCCGAGCTGAAAGTTTGGATTGAATAAACTTGCGCAATTTCAGAAACGATCATGCCCCATAGCAAGCAAAGATTGATAAAAATAAATTTAATAAGAGCAATTGGGTATTAATCTATGGCAGTGATTTTCAACCTGAGGCCTGACAAACCTATGTCTGACAAATTAGTATGGTCTGTAAGATGTCGCAAGTTCAATAATAGTACCAAACCTAACAGATAATTGATTATTATTTAAATGGATTTAGATGGATACTTGCGGAAACCCCGGACTGTAATGGCGGAAACCTATTATAGTGAATCGGAACTCTGAATAAAAACCAGTGGTTCACAGTCTAGAAATAAATTTTATCAATTTTTGCATCATGGTGTTTAGCGACTTTATTTAAAACTCTATCTTACAGGACAAGCTCCTGATGTAGAACCGTCTTCAGTTGTGACTATTGGACTCGCAGTGGTCAGTACGGCTGTTGTTGTTGTTGTTGTTGTTAGTATTGACTGAGTAGTAGTGCTTGGATTCTTTGTTGTTGTAGTCTTAGCAGTTTGAGTAGAATTCTGCATTCACAGTTAAAAAAAAAGTTTTTAAGTGTTTTATTAACTTTTTGGGAAGCGTAACAATCATATATATCTTACTAAAATCGCTAAGAGTCTATTTTAACGGCATAAATGACTAGTGTAATGTCCATTTTTCTTATATGATGCGAACCATCTACTTTTTTCACGCATCCTAAACTAATTTTGGTTTTCACAACGTTTTTCAATGTTATTGTATTCTATTCTTATATCCACAAAAAGTCAGCAGATGTTTGGATTCTCGACAATCGTGTCTAAATTATTCCAGAAATAAATCCGAATCCTCAAATCGTGGACAAGCCTATAATCTAGTCTATTATACCGTGAATCCAGGAGGAGGAAAAGTGGCCCCTGTTCCAATAGCTATGTCAGCACAACCATAAAATTCTTCTTGTGGTCCACATCCTGAACAACATTCGCCGTCACTATCGCAATTCCAGGTGTTCCCTGTACATTGGAAGAGATATAATGTGTTAATGTTTAAAACGTCAGCGAATGAAAATGTTTACAAGAATGAATTTATATATATATTTTGTAAACATTCTGTCAACTTATTCGACGTATCATATATATATATATATATCTTTTTTTCTTCATAAATTTGTTGTAAAAAGTAGTTTTACAATGGTCGTGCTGTGTAGGTGATTATCGCGCTACCGGGTTTCACGACTGGAAAATTTTTTTTTTTATGATTTTGTTATTATGAACCCATCTTTTATAACCCATTCTTGGTGGTAATATTTAAAAATTATAATTGATTGAAATAACCTGCTTTGTACTTCCACTGTAGAACGCACTGGTCGCATTCGATTTCCTCCGGTAACTTCAGCGTAACATCAAAGTATTGCGAACTGCCACCTGTAGAAGTTGGAACCATCCATTGAGTACTACCTTTATTATTTGCCAAGACATACCTGTTAGAATATTGAAATATCGATTTTTGAATTAGGCAACGGTAATGCTGGTCTACTGAAATCGTTCTCGAGAATATTATGTCAACGCCAGACTTTTCTTTTGCAAACTTTCCGTTGATAATCTGATAAACAAAAATATTTGGCCAATGCTCTAATCCCAATACCACCACAACCAAATATTCTAGCAAGATTATTATTTATATATAGAGAAGCTTTCCCGTTGAGGATGCAAATAATTTTGCAAATAAACGAATCTTTGTTTCGAATATGGAACTACTACATCAGACAATACATAACGTTGAAAATTAACATTTAGGCTCGTTTCGTAGGGTTATTGCAGGAAATGATTAGGCGTCTTGTTGGAATACCATGACGAAATGGAAAATGATGTAATGTATTGAATGTCAATATTTTTCAAGATTACTGCATGCTGCGACCCAGTGTGTACATTGTATAATATCACAATCTATTTATAGGCATCTCCTTACCCGTGTTTGGGAACCACACAGATGTAAGGTCTGGCGTTTTGCATTATGCGCTAGTTCATTCCAATATAGACCAAATGTAAAGTGATCTGTTTGCTGGTAAATAAAACCTTTAGGCTCGTTTCGTAGGGTTATTGCGGGAAATGATTAGGCGTCTTGTTGGAAGACCATGGTTAAATGGAAAACGATGTAATGTCTTGAATGTCAATATTTTTCAAGATAACTGCAAGCTGCGACCCAGTGTGTACATTGTATAATATCACAATCTATTTATAGGCATCTCCTTACCCATGTTTGGGAACCACACAGATGTAAGGTCTGAGGTTTTGCGTTAGGCGCTAGTTCATCCCAATATAGACCAAAGGTAAAGTGATCTGTTTGCCGTTAGATAAACCTTGCTCTCTAAGAATAAAATTCGTTAAACATTCATTCGAAAATATTGCAAATTCACTTGAATATAGTCTAAGTTCATGTGAATATTTCAAGAATGAACTCACTGATCTAAGCATTCGTGTGTAATAGGTACAGCAACATTGTTCCATGGACAAAGCCTAAATTCAAAATATCCTTTGTGATGTGCAGTCAGTTCCACGGTCACTGTAAACCAGCTACCTAAAACCAACAAGTCTCAGTTGATATAATTTATTATCGTCATTTTCTTTTTCAAGTTATTACTTATCGATTTTGATCGGTAAGCATGTTGATAGGTATTTGTCTGTCTGTCTGTCTGTCTGTCTGTCTGTCTGTCTGTCTGTCTGTTTGTTAGATGCACACGATATTTTATGAAAGCGAGAATGAATCTGCTCCAGATTTTGCATGTGCATTCATCATATGTCGGACCAGAAGCCTATTGATTTTGGGCGAATTATGTTGTATAATTAGCGAGTTATTAATTAAGTAGTGATGGGACACAAGGTGTCACTATGGAGTAAGAGCGATTTTTGGGGATCCCCTAACTTTCGATCGATAAGTCTTCGGTCTCTGGCCGATATTCTCGTTTGATGTTTCAGTAATAAGATTGTCAGACGCATCAATTTAGTAACGAGAATATCGGTCGGAGACCGAAGACTTGTCGATAGAAAGTTAGGGGATCCCCGAAACAGCGCTCTTACTCCATATTGACACCGTGTGTCCCATCACTACTTAATTATTAACTCGCTAATTATACGACCTAAATCATCGAAAATCAACAAGCTTCTGATCCGAGCTATGATGAATGCACATGCCAAATTTGGAGCAGATTCAACCTCGCTTTCGTGTGATATCGCGTGCATCTGACAGACAGACAAACGAGAATATCGGTCAAAGACCGAAGACTTATCGATCGAAAGTTAGGAGATCCCTCATAACAGCGCTCTTACTCCATAATGACACTTTGTGTCCCATCACTAATTATTAATAACTCGCTAATTATACGACATATTTCGCCCAAAATCAATAGGCTTCTGGTCCGAGGTAAGATGAATGCACATGCAAAATCTGGAGAAAATTCAATTTTGCTTTCGTGAGATATCGCGTGCATCTAACAGACAAACAGACATACAGACAGACAGACAAATACCCATCAACATACTTATCGATTAAAATCGATAAGCAACAAACAGACAAATACCTATCAACATACTTACCGATCTTAAGATCGATAAGTAAATAACGCGCCATGTTATATGGATATCAATATTTACTGTGCTTTGTTTGCTGTGTTCTTAATAAATATAATTTACAACGACAGATAGAAGCTTTCAATTCCTTCATTATATATGTGTTTGGTGCGCAAGTAATGATGCGGATAACTTTCTCAGTCAAACTGCAGTGAATTATTTAAACATCTATTATGATTTACCCGGAGTGTATTGTTCAACGATAATCCCTTTAGCATATTTTCCTCCAGCTTCATTTTCCTTTACATCAGCATCCCACGGATCTCCACAAACACCACATTTCCCACCTAAGTTTTGTTGGTACTGGAAATGGACATTACAAGTTGATTTATTAAAGTTACGCATTTAATAAAAAAAAAAAAAATATATAAAATGATGTTCCGGATTTTCCAGACCCTGGATTCGAAAAAAAAATAATCACTTGAATGAGGGTGGCTCATACAATTCCAGAACTTACAAATCAATTCCATATGCGTCATTCCAGTGTAACGCGTATCATGTTGATTCTAATATTTCTATAACAGTGAATAACAACGTCCATCTTTTATCTGAGGTATGATAAATTGCATAGGTCTTAAAAATCTGAGCAATTCCAGTTTGTTCAATTCACTGTCTTTAAATATTTAAATAAAACCTCAGATACTAAAAAACAGAAACAAGAGCTAGAGTAAAATCACTTCCTACCGTGAAGCCGCCACAAAACAGCTCATTATCGTTGAAGTTTTCTTCTACGATGTCCAAGTATGGTTTGATAGCCGGATCGTCAGGATATCTCCACATTGTAGACCTGCTGTGTGGAACTCGAAGTCGACCATGGCCATGTACATGCGACACCAGTACAAGTATACACCAAGCTATAAAACATTTTTGCGTCCATGGTCAGATTATTAAATTCAGCCAAACTGGGAAGTGTCGAATATGAATTGAAGAAAAAATTAACTTTTCTTTGCTTGTTTCATTTGCGAAATAATTGATCATGTTACGTTTAATATGAAGTAACCATTGGTAATGGATTGTGTAACTTGTTGTTGATTAACATTCGCACAAACCATCAAAAGTACGTATTTAATCCTGTTGAAAACTCGAAAAAATATCTTGCCCAACATTAACAAATAAGTAATGCTTACATGTCAAGAAAACGCTTAAACGCCCCATACTTTTGTGAGCTCTGGAAGATGTTCGACGTTGACGTGCTTCCCGAATATATACTGTTGATGAGCGATAAGAGTCTTAAATGGTTCCAACGCATTGTTTGTGTTCTATATTAAACTATTTACACTTATATCTAGGAATGACGCCAAGTTTGATAACTTAATTTCAGTTTAAGATAGTATTTAAAATTTTACATAGTAGATATTTTGAGCTTGGAATATTGTTATGAAGTATGCTCTAATAAAGGCCGCGAGCACTAATTCACAACCAAATATATCACTCTATTATACAGTTATTTTAGGTAGGTATACAGTTATTTTATTCATTTTTTTATTACCTTCCAAGCAGCTAGAAAACTAATGTAAAATTCACACTAGATTTATTATCTAAAAAAAATTAAAAGCAAAATAAAATAAATAAATAAAAGCAATTTTTGTGGTACTTAACAAGTAACATAAAGTGAAATGCAAGTAGCTTCAAAGCATATAAAATAGTTTAATAACTTTATACCTACTTTTGGGCCACCACCTACTTTTGGGCGACCCTGTAGTATATACTGTGAGATATGTACAGTTTATAATTATATATACTGTATATATTATATTAAAAAGAGGAAATAAGATGTTTTTATTCATGCTCTTGTTGCGTCCGGTAAATAGACCTAACTTAAATCGACCCAAGTCTGTCTGAAACTAAGATTTCTGATGGTATATCCGCAAAATAAACGCAGCAAACCGTAATTCTGTCGTTGAAAAAGAGTACTCTAATTTTGGGACCACCCTATTTTATATATATATTTTTCAATTACCCCATCTAAGACTTGGTTTTAACAAGGCGGGTAACCTTGCACCGCAGAGAATACACCGAGGAGTTTGGCAAAGCGAAGCGAACAATGGCAGTATTACGTACGTATCTTGTACGTTATTTACTTATACCATGTCATATGTTTGGGAATAGTGCGGCCAGCCAGACCAAATTTAGTTGAATAATTCAGAATATATATATATACATGTCGACATTAAATTTGAGGTAATATCAGAGATTTTCATCCTGAAGAAAACACTGAATAGAATCACGAAAAGCAAGTTTCATTAGAATATTCAAGTTACAGACATTTTTACTCGTCTAACTTGCATATCGAGACGATAATAAATGCTCGTGTGGTGACTGGTATGCACACCTGTGTAGATTGCAAATGCGACCATCTGGAAGCAGTGGCGTATCTAGGGCGTGGCAGCCATGGTTCGTCTCGTGCCATGGGCGCCGTTTGAACAAGGCGCAATAACGGCAAGAAGTATTAATCATAAAAGGTTATAATAAAATAAATTCAAATTGGGAATAACTGAAACTCGTATTTTTACTCCAATAATAAAAAAGTATCGCAATTCAATAATAGTCATTATAAACTGTCAAACAACCATCAAGGGGAGGGGGTGGCAAGGCAATTTTAAACTTTGCCATGGGCACCATTTTACGTAGAATACCCCACTGTCCGGAAGGTCTTCGATGAATATAAAAAACAACGTAGGTCTAATAGTTGAGCATTGAACAACGCCGGAACAAAATGGGAATCTTTTCAAAAGAGCTGGCAACCAAGAACTATGGTGATTTTTGATCACATGTGAAATATTTTACGGAGGCCAAAACATCACTACATATTTCATAGAAACAAATGTTATGCGAGAGTTTGCCATGCCAAAATCGACTGCCGCTTTTAATTATTCTAAACTATAAACTCGGGTTTCTCACATCGTTGTGTCACATTATATATTCTCTTAAATACCTTAGTTAATCCATTTTGAAATGGCACACTTTTCCATGAATTCACTCAAAATCGTTACAGTATCAAAGGGCTATACATGTTTATACCAAATCATGAATTTCCTTAGCTAGTTGTACAGAGGGAGGTATTCAACAACTAGTAAGTTGCGTACTCTTGAACCTAAGTTTTACATAAACCCTGCGCACAACTAACGCACAAAGGTAGACTATTATCTTATATAGTTACCTCACAATGATAACATTGTGAGACTGTCTCAGATACTGCTATTTCCATTATTACCAGGATCATTTGTGCTCAGAGTCATTTTTCCTTAATCAAAACGTTCGATTACTCGGTTTACCATGTCGCCTTGACGGGCCTACTGTTTTTCTTTCAATTGACAAACATAGTTCGATTTTTTCCACGTTTATCACTTACATTCGTATGAGAATAGCTTTGGTTCAAGTTTGTAGTACCGGGTAAAAAATTTTAGGTAAAAAACCATTGTAGTTTTGAATGTTATGAACTGCGCGCGATGTATAAAATCCCGTCGTAATCTAAGAAATGACTACCCAGGTGCACTTGGATTTTAAACATTTAAAATCAGATTTTGCTACACTACTCAGCCACGATTTCAATTTTATTTAAAACTTGAATATTGCCATTAGATTTAAAAGTATCGCATCATTTTTTTGCATTGATAAGTCTAACTGATTCGTTTTTTCGAATCTTACCATTAGATAGACCAATTATATCTGGAAAATTGAAATTCATTTCAACCGGGCCAATATTGAGGTCTGAATCATCTGGTCGATCATTTCATTAAGACACTGGGGTACTATTGAAAATTTCGGTGGTGCCTTCCCTTCCTTGGTCCCTTCGTCAGCATAATAGAGTAAAACTACATGAAGTTAGTCTCGCGTTTTAACCCAAACTCATACCTTCAGGAAAAATAGGATATCAACAGTATTGAAGTTGCGGTGAAATGTCATTTAAATGCGTAACGACGGACGCTCTCTAATAGTATTGGGGTCACAGTGAAATTCTATTTCAACGTTCAACGACTGACGCTTTTTAACAGTGTTGAAGTAACGGCAAAATGCTACTTGAGACATTTAACGACTGGCGCTTTTTAACAGTATTGAAGTTACAGTGAAACGCCAAACCAACTCGAATTATTTCATTAAACACTGGATCGCCATTGGAAAATCGACTATGGAAATTTCTGCGGTGTCCCCGTTTTCTTAGTGCCCTTAGCACATGCTTATTTTGCTTTATGGTCAATCCAGCCCTGCCCGACGATCACATTCTCCAAGCTAATTCGGCTAGCAAACTACAAGCAAAGTTTGGTATAACTAGCTCTGGGTTCGGCGGGATAGCAACAGTTATACTGCTTATTATTATATCAGTAATAAGATAAACACCTTGACATGTCACATATCTTTGATATATCACAAAGATTCGCCTGAAACCGTTGGCCCGGTAGACTATAAATTATAAAGTCTCCGGTGTACCGTGTATGGCAACTGGCCTACAAACTAGACATTGTCCCCATGGCGAGGAAATAATATCTATTTACAATCCCGGCGGTAACAGCACAAACACTCTGACCTGACACTGTTGCATTAAGTATTTTTCCAGAAATTTCGGTGCCATGGGGTCACTCTCGTTCACCCGACAATAGCCGAATGCCCAGCATATCACAAAGTTTGGCGTGACTCTCTCTGTGTTCGGTTGGATAAATAAGTAATTCTTATTATAATAAAAGTATCAGGGTTAACATAATCTAATTTCCGCGCAACGTCGATCAGTACTCCGTCCGCTGTTTTAATCGTCCAAAGCTGCTGCCCTAGCATGCTACTAGGCCGAGTCTTTTGCTCTTGAGTCCGAGAAATAATATGAAATTAAACTGAAATAATATTATATCTATCGTCTATGAATGTGTTTCGATCGAACTTATAAACCTCATCGTGTAAACTGGAATACAAATGAAGTCTATCCGATAATACGCACATTCAATTTTATGTTCCATGTTTTATAATAATTTTCTTTCCTCATTTGGTTTTCTAAAAAATTGAACCTAGTCGTTTCATATAAAACGACAACTTGTCTTTCTTATAAAGTTTGATTTTATTTCCAAGGTTTGACGTGTACGTTTAACATTTAAAACTAAAGATAGTGTAAAAGGAGCATATTGATATGAATTATCAAAAAAATTGCATTGAATAATTAATGAAAAATACGTAATATTATGTCATAGCGTCATGATGTATATCCTGTACAATTAATCGAACAGGCATTCATTCAAACGGAAGTCGCCAGTTTATACACCCTTTGTCTGCAAAAAGAGATTTATCGTGCAGTTAGTATCATGCATCAAATATTTTGTACCCGGGTAAATAACAACTATTTGAAATATTCGGTGGAGATTCAGTTCATCAAAATTACAAATGTATTTATAGAATTTACTCTAGCTTATTTTCATACGCTCAGTCGATGGAAATCTTAATATGCTAAGCTATATGGTACTAACCACACAATCAGGAGGTACGTTGTAGGGGTGATCGCATGCTTGCCTCTCTTGATTCCAGACAGTCCCTAAAGAACACTGATATTCATAGGCTACTACTCCCAAGCAAGTATAGAACGAAGTGCAGTCTTTCATTTTCCGTCCAGTTTCGTTAGTCTGCCAACGCAAAGAAAGTTCTTGTTTTGCTCTTTCTGATAAACCGTACTAAATATTTCACAGAGAGTCATAGGTTGTCAACCTAATGGTTTAGGAATTGCAAATGTTTGGTAATAAATGTTTCACTGCATGATAAGTACATGCACAACTGGAGAAAAGCAAGGATATAGCAAATATCGAATATCTGAACAAACGAACTGCATCCAGGAGTTGACCAACTGTACCTGTAGTTACAAGAAAAAGTCTGATAGCAGCTCATAGTTTCAACTTAAATTTGTTGGAACTAAACTAAAATTAGTTGCTAAATCAAACTTTCAACTACTTGATAGGCTAGGATTTCTTTAAAACGATAAGGTAAAACTTGAATAAAGCCTGATACCAAATTTATTCTGGACATTTGCGCGTAGCTGCACAAATAGAATTCTTCTCAGGAAGGGACGTATTGTCATTTAATGATTAAATTTTACAGTCTTAAAAATCGGCGCTCACCTCACATATAGCCTCACTTGAACTAACTGTTGTTGTAGTCTTAGTTGCTGTAGTAGTTGGCGTTGTTGTTGTAGTACTCATGATAGAAGACAGCAAAGGCGAACTCGTTGTAATAGTCTTGGATAAAAAAATAAGTAAAGATTCTACGAATAATAGTCCAAATTGAATGAAAATCATTCGCAAGTACCGGTAGCATAAATTTTGATATAACGGCGTCATATGCAGCTACATGCCTAGGCAAACTTGAAACAACATGGGAGCATCTTCGAATATCCATTCAATTATGTTTATAAAATTGTCCAATTGAATGGCAAAAATGGCTGTAAATCTGGTACATTGTCAACCATAAGAGTAATCTCACTTTAGCAGTCGAAGAGGCTTCGGTTGAACTAGCTCCGATAGAGATATCGGCGCATCCATAAAATTCTTCCTGATCTCCACAACCAACGCAGCAGGCGCCATTGTTATCACAGCCCCAGGAATTTCCTGTTTTATTATTCAACATTCGTAGCACTTCATTAAGCTCTTACTTCAAGATGGATTCTATCTCAAAACATATTACTCACAAAATTTTATATTTTACCCCATATTCCAACCATTTCAGTCACAAATATATATAAGGATACGTTCGTAAATATAAGCACAACTTTTAATGCAAATAACATTCTAAACTGAGTTGGAGCATATATAGTTGCCGATAAAAAATCATTTAATCTCAAGAGAATAAAAAGGTTTGTCCCACTGCTTTCAACGTGCGCATTTTATACTGTTTCAAACTGTAACTATAGCTATTTACCAGTGTGATATCTCCACTGCAACACGCATTGATTACATTCCACGCCATCAGGGAGTTTTATAGGGACACTGTAAATTTGATTTCCGTTTTCTGGGAGGATCCATCTGGTATCTTCTGGACTTGCAGTATGAAGAACGTACCTTAAAATATCTTTGAAGTTATGCTACTATAAAATTGAGGTAGAAAGTTCATAAAATTCAATCATGGTGCTTAGTTGCAGTAGCGTATCTAAGATATGATAGCCGTGACCTGTGCCATGGGCGCCGTTAGGATAGGAGCGAACGGTTTTAATCGTAAACGTTGTCTATAAAATATTTTCAAATTAAAAATATTTGAAACTTGTTTTTTATTTTAAATAATAAAGTACAAGTATCTTAATTCAGAAACAGTTTAGAACTATGTATAGAAATGTGGTGTAGTGAATATTTGATGTATATATGATACTATATTATAACAAGCGTGTCATACGTAACACAAAAATAATTACGTTTTGTAGTAAAGACCCTTTACGGAAAATGTAACTCAAAATTTTCTTGTCTGGTACTCGATTGCTCATTGTTATTTTTTATTAACACAATACATACTTCAACTTCTTTTTCAATTCAATGAAGTAGTTCAATGAACTACTAACAAATGGAATTGTATATTAAAATCAATACTACACATTTGAAATTCTTCTCACCAGTTCTTACAAGTCGCGACTGAAACGGATGGTTTGTCCCATGGACACAGACGAAATTCGAAATATCCTTTGTGATGAGCAGTTATTTGGACTTGTGCTGTGACCCATTCACCTGTCGAAATGAGTTGGCATTGGCTAGAAATATTTGGCTGAAATAACGTTCAGAATTTAGATCAACTATCAAATATTACTGTTGAGTTAACTAAATGTTTCTAGAATAGTAACAAGAGCGTGAATGCCTGAATTTTGGTAATGTTGTGTTATGATTCCTTTCGCATATTTTCCTCCAGCTTCATTTTCTTTGTGTTGTATATTATATGATGTGATACCGCTAGGTGACGCTATTGACCCAGACTGATTTGACCTTGTTCTATCTGTGCACGTGTAGGCTGACTTGCTTGTTAGTCTGTTACTGCTATGGTGTCTTAATGTTGAAGTGCTCGACTCTTATAATAAAGTAGTGTTGTAATGGAAACTTGGTGCTTGTTTATAAAGATCTAAAGGCAGAATACACTACAAATTGGCGACGAGGATGGGATTAGTCTGCTGCCATATAACGTTAGCTGTGTCAATGGGATCGGTCTGCTGCATGCCGGTGTCACAGTAAGTGTTTCAAATCAACGTTATTACAAGTACCCGAAAAGAAGAGTCTGCAATATAAGCAGCTGAAATTGTCTTTATAGACTGAAATTTATGAGCCTGAAATTCCATAGCTGAAAAATTACTATACCTGAAATGACTACTTTAGGAAAAATAGAAGAGTATAGTAATGGCCAAGATTGGTCTGAATATGTTGAACGCCTAGGACATTATTTTGAAGCAAACGAGATTGAAAGTGCTGATAAAAAGAAAGCCATATTATTAAGCGTTTGCGGGGCTCAAACATACAGTTTGATCAGAAACTTATGTGCTCCTGAAAAGCCTGGTGAAAAAACTTATGTCCAGCTGAAAGAACTTGTGAACAAGCATCTCAACCCCAAACCATTGGTGATAGCAGAAAGAGTCAAATTTCATGAAAGAATCCAACATGATGGAGAAACTGTGAATGAGTTCCTGGCACAGCTCAGGAAATTATCTGAACATTGTCAATTCGGTGAGTTCTTGAATGATTCACTAAGAGATAGATTTGTGAGTGGACTAAGATCAACGCGAATGAAACGTAAATTATTAACTGAAGTTGACCTAACTCTGCAGAATGCTGTGAAAATTGCTACTGGTATGGAATTGGCAGAAAAACAAGCCAATGAATTAAGTTGCAAATTTGAAAAATTGCCAGTAGATGAAAATAAACCAAAAGTTCATAAAGTTCAAAATAATCAAAGATTTGCAACGCGTTCTGAAATTCGAAAATTCAAAGAATGTTTTCGATGTGGGAAAAGTAATCATCCTGCTGAAAGCTGTTTCTACAGAAATGCAAAGTGCCATAAATGTAAACGAATTGGGCATATAAGTCGAAAATGCTCAATGCAACGTAACTTCTATCGAGGTTCCAATCCTCTGAAAAGTAAAAAGTCTTCGAATTGTGACTACATGCAACCTACGAATGATGATAACCTGTCCTCGGACTGTTCTCAAAATGAAATGTGTCCTGTATTCACTACTAAGTCTAGTTCTTATGGTCCAATAGTAGTTCCACTGAGAATCGAAAATTGTGATTGTAAATTTGAATTAGATACTGGTAGTGGGGTGTCACTCATTTCTGAAAGCATGTATGAAAAGAATTTTAAACATTTGCCTTTGCTGAAATCTAATGTTGTATTGACAACTTATACTGGTGAAAATATTACTGTCTTAGGTAAAGTGAATGTTACTGTTGAATATGAGTCACAGTGTGTAAATTTACCTTTGCAAATTGTTCGTGGCAATGGTCCATTACTATTGGGTAGAAATTGGTTATCCCAATTGCAATTGAATTGGCATCGTATTTGTCATATTGGTTCCAAGCTCACGCTTGAGAATATTTTGAAAAAGTACCCTGTTTTTGATAATTCCCTTGGTACTATAAAAGGTATAACTGCTAAACTAAGGTGAAAGAAAGTGCCATTCCGAAATTCTACAAGCCACGTCCTGTTCCTTTTGCTCTTCGTGATAAAATTTCGGATGAGCTGAAAAGACTAGTAAATATGGGGGTCCTGAAAAAAGTTGAAAGTTCTGATTGGGCTTCACCCATTGTTCCAGTATTGAAAGCTGATGGTTCAGTGAGAATTTGTGGGGATTTTAAAGTAACAATAAATCCTGAATTGGATGTCCCTGAATATCCCTTGCCTAGACCTGAGGACCTATTTAGTAAATTGAATGGGGGACAGAAATTTTCAAAGCTTGATTTATCAGAAGCTTATCAACAAGTTTTACTTGATGACGAATCTCAAAAATATGTCACTATTAATACTCATATGGGGTTATTTAGATATTTAAGGTTACCATATGGGGCAGCTTCTAGTCCTAGTATTTTCCAAGAAACTATGGAGAAAATTCTCCAGGGATTGCCAAATGTGGGTTGTATTTTGGATGATTTGATTGTCACTGAAAAAGATGATGATAGTCATTTGCAATTTCTTGATAAACTTCTATATAGATTGAATTCATTTGGTGTAAAATTGAAACGTTCTAAATGTTGTTTTTTGCAACCATCTGTTGAGTATTTTGCTTTTATTGTTAATGCAGAAGGTATTCACCCTTCTCCGAAAAAGATTGAAGCAATAATGGAAATCCCTAGCCCTGAAAATGTAAAAGAATTGCAATCTTTTCTTGGTATTGTAAATTATTATCGTAAATTTATACCTGCAATGTCTACCATTGTTGATCCTTTCAATAAGTTACTGAAAAAGGGTATGAAATGGAATTGGAATAATGACTGTAAAAAAGCTTTTGTGAAATTGAAAGATATATTGGTGTCATCTGAAGTGCTAGTACACTATGACCCTGAAAAACCATTAGTACTTGCCACTGATGCTTCATCTGTAGGTATTGGTGCTGTAATTTCTCATATACTGCCAAATGGTGCTGAAAAACCTATTGCATATGCTTCTCGTACTTTAACAAGTGCTGAAAAAAATTATTCCCAAATCGAGAAGGAGGCACTAGCAATTGTATATGGTGTAAGAAAATTTCATGTGTATTTATATGGTCGAAATTTTAAATTGTTGACTGATCACCAACCTTTAACTATGCTATTGAGTCCAAAACGTGGTATACCTGTTTTAACTGCAACCAGATTGCAAAGGTGGGCTATAAAACTGTCTGCATATAAATATGAAATATGTTATCGAAACACGAAAAATAATGGGAATGCAGATGCATTATCCCGATTGCCCATGAAAACAGATCAGTCTGAAATACGCGATTGTTGGGAAGAAGAGGCAACGATTATGAACATAAACCAAGTTCATACGCTTCCCATAACTCCTGCAAAGCTCCGCCATGCAACTGAAAATGATCCAAAGCTCTCACGGGTGTTGCTGTATACTATAAATGGTTGGCCTGCAAAGGAGGAAATTACAAATGAATTGTTGCCATTCCACAGGAGGAAAGATGAAATTACTGTGGAAGAAAGAATATTGCTGTGGGGAATAAGAGTTATTATTCCTGAAAAGTATATTGCAGAAGTACTAGATGAACTGCATGAAAATCATCCTGGTATGGTTCGGATGAAATCATTAGCCAGATTGCATGTTTGGTTTCCGAATATTGATGAAAGAATTGAACAGAAAGTCAGAGATTGTTCAAATTGTCAGGAAGTAAGAAGTCCTGCGAATAAAACGCCTGGAAATCCATGGATATGGCCTACGAAGCCATGGCAAAGAATTCATATTGACTATGCTGGTCCAATAATGAATGAAAACTTTCTGGTGGTGGTCGATGCTCATTCTAAATGGCCTGAAGTGTTGAGAATGCCTTCAACTACTTCTGAAAAGACTGTTGATGCATTGAGATCTTTATTTTCGAAATATGGACTACCTGAAATATTGGTAAGCGACAATGCTCCTAACCTGTCATCGAAAGAGTTTCGAGATTTTATGATACGAAATGGAATTAAGCAAATCTTCTCAAGTCCGTATCATCCGTCCTCTAATGGTGAGGCTGAAAGAAATGTGCGTACCTTCAAAACTGCACTGAAAACTTTAAAAAGATTACCTGGAACACTGAATCAGAAGTTGGCATCGTTCTTATTAACTTATCGAACAACGCCACATTCTACAACGAAATGTACTCCAGCTGAATTATTCATGAAAAGAAGACTGAGAACAAGATTAGATTTAATGAAACCTAATTTGAGTAATTCGATGCAGAAAAGAACAACTCCAGTGCAAAAGCCTATTAGAAATCTGGAAGTTGGAAATCGTGTTCAAGTTCGTGATTATAGAGATCCAAACCGAAAATGGATTCATGGAGTAATCTTAAAGAAGTTGAGTCCTGTAACCTATCGTGTAAAAGTTGGTTCAATGATCTGGAAAAGACATATTGATCAAATATTGGACATGTCTAAAGTGAAATTAGAGAAATCATATGATAGTAGTTTGGATGATGACGTTTCATTGCCTTCTGTGTTTCCAAATACTGATGTAATTGATCCTAATGTTGATATCCCTAGTACTAATGAAAATTTACCTGTTAATCCTAATGTTAGTACTGAAAGTGAAACCCAGTGCCCTGATGAAACATCTGTTGAAATTTCACGTTATCCAAAACGTCTTAGGGTTAAGCCTGAGCGGTTGATTGAAACAATGTAAATGAAATGTAATGACATTCTCATTTTTTTGAAGGGGGGAAAAAGTGTTGTATATTATATGATGTGATACCGCTAGGTGACGCTATTGACCCAGACTGATTTGACCTTGTTCTATCTGTGCACGTGTAGGCTGACTTGCTTGTTAGTCTGTTACTGCTATGGTGTCTTAATGTTGAAGTGCTCGACTCTTATAATAAAGTAGTGTTGTAATGGAAACTTGGTGCTTGTTTATAAAGATCTAAAGGCAGAATACACTACACTTTGATTGCTGCATCATATGGATCACCACATATCCCGCATGTCATGTGAAGTGATTGTTGATGCTGAATATATAGTTGTCAGTTGTCAGGTTTTTGTGATTCAAGAATTTTCTATTCAAATTATTCTGGTCGTTTTAGGACGAATAACATTTTTACAACCCATTGAATTTACTGTAGTGCATACGTTATGATTCAAATAACCATTATATTTAATTTTATCTATAATTTCTCAATGCATATAAGTTAAAAAAAATAATAATTACCAACTTACCGTGCTTTTATGTAGTTTACTAATCAAAAACATATTTGGCACAGAATGACTGCTTTCAGTGTTGTTATACGACTTTGCTTGTAATAAATAATTTGATATAAGATCCCACTTACAGCAAATCCACCACAAAACAATTCATTATCCTGATAATTTTCTTCAACTAATTCCCTTTGTGATTTAGTAAGACCTAACTCATCTTGGAATCTTCATATTGTAGAACGTGATACCGGTTCAATCAGACGTCCATGTCCTTCCACCAGAGAAAACAAAAATAGGACACACATCACTGCAATAGAAATGAATTTTCTTGGTTAAAACTATTCATAAATTTTTAAAAACTAATTTTGTAGTCATATAATTTTTAATTTCCGACTTTGTATAACTCTAAATTGAGTCCGAGAAAAGTCAGTAATAAAAATAAAATATTGAATTGTAAATATTAAATTTTCTTTGTATAAGCGTAAAATTATCCTTACTTGAAGTAATGATCAATTTCGTCATTGTGAACTGTGAAGTATATCTTTTAACCCAGTAATAGTATGTATGATTTCTACAAAGGTATCTAGCTAACTGATCTATATTGCGCTTGTAGCAGGAATGCGTTTCCACAGGAAAAAGAAATGTGGAGTTTTGAAGTTTTAAACAAAGTGCTTAACCTCGGACCAACATTCTGTTAGTTTTTTATGTTTATAAGTTAGCATATAGGCGTATCACTCCTTCAATAATCATTTCATTTTTAATAAAATTCGGTTATGAAAGAAAGGTCAACAAGTGGATATTTATGATTGATTCTATAGAAAAAAGGCAAACAGCTTGAACTGACACATTTATGATTAAAAATTGAGAAATAACTATTTTGCTGTGGGTTGCTATAAAGTATATGATGACCAACAAATAAATGTGTGGAAGCATGAATATTTTTCACTGTCACGCATATTCATTTTTTATTGAGATTAATTGCACAGATAATACATTTATTCGTATATATATGTATATACTGTTATCATTGTGCATATATTGGATTAGATAACTGGATTCCGCCATTGGTCAGAGAACAAATTTGTTTTGCTAATTCCCAGGAAACGTACTTCGATGGAAATTTGTAAATCAAACAAAATTTATTTCAAGACATCTTATGACTGTAAACAGTCATGCCAGCGATTAGTTTGTTAAGATTTAGGCTGCAATTATGATAAAATATAGTCTGTAAATAGATTTCACCGCCTCTGAGTTCTACGTACCAAAACCAAAATAAATTTGAATTACCGCAAGCATATTGTTCTGAAATATAATTGTTTGAAACTGTTACTTTGAAATCGCTATTTTTTTGTTGTTGTCACAGTGTTCTTATTAAAAAGTTAAACGCGCATATACCAAGTTTTGACGTTCATGCCTCTCTTTATAAGTAAAGAATTGCCGGAAACGATAAAGTTATAGAGATAAATCGTAATATATTTTTTACTATTTTCTCATTCTAATGAAATTGTATTCCGACTTTCCGTAGAGGTTGTTGTGATGTAGCGGACGTACAATATCGAATATGGTATAAATGCCACAGGTAAATACATTCTTTGCAGTGCTGTTAGAGAGTTTTCTTGTGAAATACAGTGTTTCCACAACAATGTCGGGTAGCCTTTTTATCTTGTTAATACTTGTTAATCAAAACGAGCAAATCAATACTGTACAAATAAAAAAAAATAAAATTTAATTAAAAGTTACGATCTTCCAATGCCAAAAAAATGAAGTGAAATTTTCAAAATTTGAAAAAAACAAATAAAAAAAATCTTTGTCACTTTTCGGGTTTTTAAAACACTTAGTACTATATGACACGATTTATAAAGAGGCCTCATTTAAACTTTTTTTTTATTATTTATAATCATTTCATTGCTGACAAAGCAAATGCGGAATTCACGTTTAAATCTGATAATTTATATTGTTTATTTAGTAACAATCTAAGCACATAATAACCATGCTTCTAAATAAACGTGCGGCAATTGTGATAATTGTTTCACTTCGCTGTCACGCGAGCTCTTAAATTTCGCTGATTTGTTGAATAAATACCATCATTATTTATTTTTCGCTTTTTCATATATTGTATTTGGTATCGCAATCACCCAATTGGACAGAGAGTAAATATGTTTGGTGATTCGGCATTGATGAAAGCTTATAAACCGTATCATATATATTCACAAGTATTTCTCAAGTAAGCGTTTAAACCTGATTTAAAAGAATTAATCCTAAAACAAAATTGAGGATATTCTCAATAATGTAGATATAGCAATGACTCTTTCACACACCATTTGATTTTTTGGCGTGTTTATAAGCATCTAAATTAATTGTTGAATTGTAACTAATTTATTGTAGCTGCTACATCAACGCCTTATTTTATATCAACGCTATATTACGTCTTGATGGTCGGACAACATATATCAACCCTCGACAAATCTAGGTCATTAATAGACTTGGAAATTTTTGTACTGCAATCCTTGGATTTTCTTCTAATTTGAGCCATACGAATGTATAGTACTGAACCAAAGGCTATTGATACTGATATAAATAAGTATGGAAGTTTGTTTCGATTGTGTTATAATATTTTGCACTGAGTTCGTGTTTCCCCATGCATTACCGATCAATAAAAAGACGCAAACAAACAAACAAAAAATTGACACTTTTCAACGTAGCAGGGAATGTGAAAGAAACCAAGGCAGCACCTAAGGCCAATAAAAAAATAGGAGCAAAGAAGTGACTGGAAGCATTTGGCGCCCATCAACAGCCTAAACCTTAAAAAAACTTGACATTTTTCAACGTAGCAGTGAATCGATCCAATTTATTTAAAACAAATCGACGTCATTCTAATTATGATTTCATTTATCTTATGCAATTTCATGACCAGAACAAGGTATTAAAATATATGTATTTTAATTCAGACCACCTATTTGTATATATACACTATCATAACCCATAGCGCTTTAACAATTTTAGCTTTGAGTAATAACGCGTTTACAATGTGAACGAACATTTTGTTTCTTCCATGTGAAAGGAGAAATTTTAGTAATATTTTGATATTATGTTAAAAAAAAAACAGATAAAATATCTGGTGTAAATTTTCAAATTACACCCTGTCGAGTTCACTGATAATAATTATGCGGGCCCGGAGCGTTTGTTATTTGTGCGCAGAGAACGCGAGCCTTCTCGGTCTAATGAAATATGATATAAGGATTCAGGTTTATTTCCCAAAAATTAAAATGCAAACTGAATTTTATGTTCATTGAAATTTATTTTTATTAATTTTTGAGCCTGCGAAAAATAGACAATAATGTGTTTTTCTTCAATTGCTCCAAAATCACATAAATTCTTTCCTGGTTGCATGAACACTGAGCATTTATTTCTGGCACAACACTCCGTTCTGAGATGTCGTTGGATCAATGGAATAAATTCCGTCTGAACCATAGAAGTTGTCGATACGAATACCCATCTTGGTCCCAGATTTTTCAGGAGTCGTAGCATCTGGGTGATATTTTGTGAATGCAGCTGTGGTGCCACTGGAAAGATGAACAGACTTATCCTGTAAAAAGGTCACAATAAAGATACATGTTGAGCGAATTAATAATCCATTTGCGCGCATTTTCAAAGGTGTTCCAAAAGTATAAAATTCATATAATTTTTTTCTACGTTTCTCCGACAACAATCGATTTATTTTTATATATTTATACCATATATAAAAATCTGGCTTTGTTGTACAGTTGGACACGTATAAGGTAAGAACGATGTGTTGAAAAATTGTATCAACAAACATATAATTGAAGATCTGACATCGTCTATTTTGTTATATTAGTACACACCAAAAGTCCAACACTGTACATACCGAGGGATTATAAATCATCCCTGTCCAAATCTTGGAAGAGGTTGTTGACATGATTGATCGGACATATCCAACAACCATGCTGTAGAGATTTGAATCTACGATATCTGCTGGTTTTCCGGACTTCTTTCCGCAGTTCTCAACTCCTTTGTCGAACGTTATTGCATCTTGATCCCCCGTTATAACGGCCCAGTAGCATACTCCGCGGTAGATAAAACCTCCACAAGTCACTGTAGCAAAAAGTAACTCGTCACATTGCGGTTGTGTAAAACTACTAGTGAAACATGTATAGTAATGACATAGGTTTTAACACATTAACAATTTTATTTTTCAGTATTATACATACACCTTTTCTTGGATGGTTTTCACAAATATCTTTCATATACTTTATAAAGGTTTACCTTCGTCTAATTTTGCCATTATTCTTTGATCCATTTCTTCTAATTTTTTTGCAACTAGATGAAAAAAAATTAAATTCTAAATGAGTATAAAAACCGTCACATCAAGCATGTATCAAAACGGTTAATTTCAATATGGAGTTTTTCAGTTGTCAAAAAATCTATATAATATATGAAGATATCTGTCAGCAAATTACTCGTTCTTTGATACTTGTTAAAATTCATATCAATAACATAAAATAGTATTCAAAGGCATATCACATCGGCAATTTACAAAATACTTCAGATGTTCGGACGTTTGAAAAGTTTCATTAAATATGTTTGCATGTGTAAAATCCGATAGCTATTACTGTTATCTTCACCTATCAGTATGAAATTTTGGATTTATAACACTTGGAATATCGTTATTCTATACACATGGACGTGATATAATTTACCTGATTCCATCGAATCCTCCATTCTATTATGAGTGAGCGAACAAATTCCTTTGCGAGCATTTACATTGCCGTATGCAGATAGCAACAACAGTATAGTCAAATAAACTCGAGTCATATTGTTTGCTGTCAAAATTGAAATAAAATTTTGAGTGTGTTATGGGAACGCTATCTTCCATTTGGAACCCAGCGTTTATTTTCGTTTTTTTTACTCAAAAGGACGCGATCTGCAAATACATCAAATTAAAAGCTTCTCTATAAATGAAATGATAACTAAATCGACAAAAAAGCACAATATTCATTTGTAACATGTGAGTGGAAAATGAAAAATGTTCAAACATTCAACGCCAAATGTATTATTTATTTGTATAATTTTTTCTTTAATAAATGGAAAGATACAGATTATTTTGTCCCAATTGCAATTCGAGTAACTTCATTCACAATAAATCCAAAAAGCATGATTCGGCAAAGTTAGTGTTAAAGTTCGAGGCAGATTAGATTGACAGTATAACGCCTAAGTCAGATTGAAACATCGTTTACTCAGATTTAGGGAAGAGTATAGAAAAATACTACTTTTCAAGTTTGATATAGTAATCCAACACACACCGTTTTGTGATATCGAAATAATTTTCAACGTTATCAAATATTTGATTGCTCACCTCACCAATATTTCAGCACATTCGCTTTTTGCAAAATGTCCACTGCAAAATGTCTGTTACATTGTTAGGCTACGTCTATTTATAAGATTTCATGCAAAAATTGATAATTTTTTGTTGTTTTCGAAATACCATGATTGAGCACCAAATCATGCTAAAAATAAGATACTATTTAAAAAGGCATACGTGACTAAATTCACATATCGCTTGAGCACGTGATTCAATCTCTTAGAACTTGTATTATAATCCTATTTTCTGTGAAAATGCACTCGTGCTAATTGCACGTCAAGGTGTGAAAAAACATGTTGAAATCAGTGCTGCAAAAACGAGAGCTACGTTTTTGTAATTGGGTTTGAAAACTACATCTGCGGTTGCGTCGGTAAATGGGTATTGCGAATCCATCATAAAATTATCAACAATACATTTTCCATAAAACAAATAAATAAAAAAAGGAAATGCACCCTCTCGCGTCACGAATTATTCACAATCTACTATAATCACATTCTAAACGAACCACCATTACTCTCATTGCAATACTACCAACAAAGATATTTTATAAACGAAGTGAATTGAGCGCATATACCAAATATCGAAAATGTACCAAACGGGTAACACGAATAAAACAAAATTGCTATATTCCTAAATATGTGTCAACAATTTTCAACGAAGGTTACCGATTAATATTTTCGTTCAATTCACTGCGCATACGTCTGCGAATATCTTTTTTCGACAGTTGCTCGGACTGTTCCCAATTTTGTATCAGGCATTTGGGACCCTTCCAAATAAATTTGAACATTTTTACAAATTCAAGTAAAAATACGACTGCTGTTTAGGTTTTGTTCACATTTGACTTTATTTTTAATACCTCAAGTCATGTTTATACAACGGCGACAATCTAAATCCATATTACTTGTCATTGAGAAGCGAGATCATGGTGACAGTGCGTAGCAGCTCATTGACGTCCTTTGCGTTAAGTGTGTTTACCCATTCCTGGGATATGTTGATATGCAGTGCATCAAGATTTTAACCCGAATTTTTTGTTCTCTGGGCTCGCTGTTTTACCCAAAATGTTGTAAATTTAAGGCACCACGCGATTTTTCGGATGCGACGGTCGCATTTGTGTCAGGTAAATACAGACCAAACAAGGTATGTACATGGTACAGTGCATGCGCAAATATGTACTTCATTGTTGCACCTTCTAATATTATATTGGAAATACATGGACATACTTGGGCTGTTTTATTTGAATATACTCCACGTCGTATCATCTCTTTCTTCAATTGAATTTCTTTTTCAATGTTTGCGACCAGAAAAAGTCATTCAAAGGAACTCCGTCACATTATCTTGCACCTAAAACATTTGCACATGTATACTTTAGGACCAGCAGACATTGGCACTCATACGTTTGCATCGACATGTTTTAGAACCCACATATAAATTGCATCCACGGACATTGCACCCAATCCACATACATTTTGCACCCGTGTATATTTGGACCCACCGAAATTTGAACCCACGTACGTTTGCACCCACGTACATTCGCACCCGTGTACAATTTCATTCATAGAAATTTGCACCCAGTGCATTGCACCCACATAAATTTGCATCGAGGTCCAATTGCACCAGCGTACTTTTGCACCCATAGACATTTGCACTCCTGTCTTTGAATTAAAATAGGTTACATTGCCATTTGGGACGTAAATCAGACATATTGATGTGGGAAATAACAGTGATTACAAAATTTACGCAAACCCGCACGCGATTAATTAGAATTTTTGAACACGACGTTGACCTTTGGATCGTTTTGTTATGATGATTATTTGTTGTTGTTAGTATTTCATTTCTTCTTGTTGTGAAACAGTTTATTTTCCTTTTAATTACTGTACCAATTGCTTTGAAATTTTCTGTGGTTAAAGATTATTGTTGCCGCTGGATATTTAATACTTTTTTCACTTCGACGTTTTGTGTGGTGACGTAAACAAAATTAAAAATAAAATTTCTGTAGCGTTCCGCGACCGCATGCCTGTTGATCCCCTGCTACGCAATGTCGAGAGTTTATTTTTACCCCACCGTACAGTAGACTAGGTAAGGTGTGATAGGCTACTGTAAAAGACATTATATTTGAATCATTTGGTATTTTGATTTACGTAGTAGACTAGAAACACTAGATCACTAGATGCATGAATCATCATCGTCACAAAACCTATTTAAGCTGGGACAGTCCGGGTACCGGTGCTGGTAAGCTACGGTACCAGTAGCTGTTCCACAGTTTCAGCTTTGTTTATATTATGATTTTGAGGGTAACTGTGAGTAACATTTTTCGTTTTGGGTTTCGTGTCAATATGTTTAAACATTGTATTTACAGTCAACTGTTTTACGCAATGAACGCGTGTGGCATGGAACACTTGTGTGTCTGAATCTCGCAGTAGATTCTATATATCTGTGATGGCAATTAGCGGTCAAAATTGATCTGTGAACATTAACCACTACCGGGTTACCCTTTCAAAAGAGTGAATTATTGTGATTATTGTGAAATATTAGGGCTGCACACCTTAAAAATCTGCGCTTGATAAAAATCGATAAAATCGTATTAAACTGTATTACAGTTACTGCGTGCAGCAGTATGTAGACTGATTTAGGTCAGATTGAAATCACGGGTAAATGCTACTTGAACATTGCTATTGAATTTACGATAAAATGCTACTTGAACATTTAGAGACTGATGCTTTTTACCAGTTAACGTTAACGTGTTAACTTCTATAGGTGCAAATGTACGTGGAAGCAATGATCTGTCGGTACAAATGTCCATGGCTGCAAATGTACGCCGTTACAAAAATCCGTGGGTTCAATCTATATGCGGGTGGGAATGTACGGGTTCTCATTCATGTGGTTGAAAATATATGGGTCCAAATTTATGTGGGTCCAATATCGATGAGTGCAAAAGTATGCATGTGTAAATGTCCTCGGTGCGGTTTACGGGTGCAAATGTACGTGGGTGCAAATGTGCTGTCACCAAGAAGCTCCATTAAAAGCAGAATCCTAAAATTTTGTCATTTCTCTGTTTCCGTATATATATTGCTTCAAAGCTATAGACTGTGTGTTGCAAACAACAGTGGAATTGAAACGATGAATACATCTGTTCAGCTTAATCTTTTTACAATTTCACCCGATAATCCAGATCACCTGTTTCTATAATTCGTAGTATACTGAGACGTTTATTAATCATTTAGTGCAGAATTCATTTATTGTTCTGCTAATCCACGGCTGTTAAAACTTCATTGCAAACGGTATAAATATTGTAGTGCGAGCATAAGCGGCAACAAAATTTGTCATATGTCTCATGAGCGATTTCTAAGAATTTTTCTAACAAGAAAACTAAAATTCAGTGATAGTTTATGATCTTCGAAGCGCGTCATCTTTTTGTTTAAGAATAATTTATTACCTCTGTGATGCGTGTGCCTCTCACTCAGTTGCCGTATCTCATGAGATCGATGTTGGATGAGTTTATGGCATGTCACCAATGATCTCGTGCGTTATATATCAGAGTTCTGGATTTCATTCTGTAGTCACGCACATTTAACATAACATACAATGCGCTAGTGAGTTCAGTATCTTTATTATTAGATATAAATAAAAAATGAGAGAGGTAAACTATAGATCTTTAATAGAAAGCCCTGTCACTATTTAAAAAATGTGAGATTTGAGAGGACACCCTGCCACGTTTCAAGTACTGCAGGTTGCGCTCGCCAAGTTAGCGGCGGCGGGACTGTTGTTTTGAGCGGCTTTATACGAAAGATCCTTTGAACTGAACGAATTACACCAGATATCATTGGCACCATAATTGCAATCAGCACAAATCGATTTTCCCATCTACACAAGTGCATACCGTCTTACTTATTGCAAATGACTAAACTGGGATAACAGTAGGATGGTCAATTGATCATAGCTGAACCCACAGCATAAACACAAATAATATACAATATTACAAATTAAAGTTCGGCGCAATATAATACTCTAATTATAAACGACACTGTGACCATATGACGACAGAACTGCGATTTTCAACAATAGTGTATATACCGCGTGTAAGACATTCTAAGGAAATGCCATTTACATCATGTAAATGTCTTTACAGCTTTGCATCTAAATGCATATTCAATTGATTACCATGAAATTTGTCGTAACAATTCGGTAATTCGACGACCGTAAATGCTTCCGATTGGTCTGCCACAAAACCTACCTCATAACCCAATAAATAACTTCTACGTGACATTGACTATTTCACTTACCCCTTGTCTGATCGACTAAATTATAACTAATGGTATGCTATTTGAAGGAAAAAAAGCTGAAGCAGTTGGCAGTGACAAACAATATTGCCTATTATATTTCAGCTACACGTGATAAATTCGCTACTTATGGAAACAATACAGAATTTTATCTTCTTATCAACTTGGTAATTTGTATTCACAGTTTGCCTATAACAAAACACAATCACCAATAATAAACGGATAGCATTTGAAAGTTTCCAATTTCAACTTCATTGTCGCTACTTAGCGCAATTGGTTCTTTAAAGCTTCATAATGAGTGAAAAAACGGTGCCATCAATTTCAAGTATGCCCCTCTTATAATTAGAGGATTTAAAAATATACAACGGCATCCGGTGGATTTGCAATTAGTAGCATCTTACGTCGATAGCGTGAACTTGAGACCTTTTTATTGCCTTCATGTTACACACGTTTCTCACTTATGCTGAACTTTATGTCTTAGGTATTTAACAAGTTTACAACAGTGTTTTTATTTTTATTATCGGCGTTCACACGAAATACATAAACATTTATGGAAACTAATTTGTTCGAACAAGTTTATTTGACAACTGTTATTGAGAATTTAATATATCGCATTCTTGATAGTGGCACAATGTCAAGTAAGAGTTAGATGATTTAATATAACAGATGACATCAGTAATTCACAAAGAACTATTCACTGATTTCAACTTAAGAGATACCGTCAAGTCACCTATGCAATTGATTGATG